AGAGGTTGAATAACTTCCTTACGCCCTTTCACCTTGCACGTTACGTACCTGACCGGATAATCTGTTCCATGGGTGATCATGTCGCGACCAAGTCGGGGAAGAGTTGGTCTACTTCATGGGTATATGGTTAACTGTCTGATGTTGGTTGATGAGTTGAGGTGTCTGTTGTTGCTCATAACCTGCGAATGTAGATAGGCTCCCTACTGAGTGTTAATACGTGGTTTACTATAGAGGAGTGAGTTTATTCACTAGCTACTCGGGATTTAGCCTCACAAAGAATCATCTTCCTTTTCCCGACATCACAAAGCTTCACCGTGGCATCCACCATCGCTTAGTTGCCGCCGTATCTGTTCCTTCGTCCCGGCAACAAGCCCGGTTTCGCTGCTTTTCTGTAGAAGAAGAGACAGAGATTTCTATCGCTTCGTTTCAATGATACTAGCTTCCCCGGGTGTACCTCAAACCACTTCTCATCAAATGTGACTGTAAACTCTTTTTTGTATGCGGGTCATCACATCCCTCGCCAAATCAACAACGTTGGCTCTCAGTTGCGCGAGAATGCCGATGGATTTCAAAAATTTGTAGTCGCAATCAATATTGCACGGCATTTTTCTGGCCTTGGCGAAGGGCACGGAAAGTATTCTTGCCCTCTGTTTCGATGCAAAATAATCTTGGATGCTCTCGGCGTCCCAGAAGACGTCTTTGAAGGCATCACTATGCTACGACGAGCCACCGTCGGTTTGGCCTTGCTTGGTAGCCCCCCGAGCTGACCCTTCCCTGGTTCCGACCCCCGCTGCAAGAGGCTTTGCACCAACCGCTCTGGTGTTTCGTTTCCGACGGACCCCCGATCAATCCAGCGTCTTGGACGCGGCGCTCGCCTTGAGCTCGTTCATGGCCGCGCGGGAGTAGAGGTAGTGCCCGTAGGGCCGGTGCGACGGCCCCATCCCGCCCCACAGCAGGCCCGCCAGCGCCAGAAACGCCGCCCCCACCAGCAGGCCCATCCCGGACCCCAGCAGGAGGCCGGGGATGGACCCCTCGGCCCCAAACTCTTCCGGCGGCCCGATGAAGAGGGTGGCCATCATCCCGGTGTCCTCGTGCGCCAAAAAGTGGCAGTGCAGAACCGTCTTGCCGGTGTAGTTCTTGTACTGGACCCAGATGCGGGTCCGGCCGTTGGGGGGGACGGCGACCGTGTCCCGCCAGACGTCCTGGTCAAAGTCGGTCATCTCGTCCAGGATGGGGTACTTTTTCGAGGACAGCTCGGACCCCATTTGTTTGACCTGGAAGCGATTGACGTGGATGTGAAACTGTTGTGTGTGTGTATGTGTGAGTGTGTGCGGCAAGCAGGAAACAAAGTTGCGTGAGCCGAGGCTCCAGCGCATGAAACCCTCACGGAGCGAAAACAAGCAACAAACCAATCAAAAAACAAACAGGCAACCGGCAAACACGCAACAACCAACCAGCAGAACCAAACCAAACCAAACCAAACCAAAGCAAGAGCAGTGTGCCGCCCGGATCGTCCCACTCACCGGGTGGTAGTTGTGGTTGGCGTTGACCAATATGTACTCGACGGCCTCGCCGGGATCGGCCCGAAAGTCGAGGCGGTCCGGCGAAAAGGCTTTCCCGTTGATGTAGTACTGCGGAAAGGGTGCCGTGTCCCGGTTGGTCCCCATGCTAAAGACGATGGTTTCCGTCCGGGAGATCTGGTGCGACTCGATGGTTTCCTCGGGCCGGTAGCCCGGCGCAAAGACCATCTCCCCGACGGGGACCGTGGGCAGGCGGTCGCCGCCCGGCCTCTCTTCCACGTGGATCTCCGCGAGGAGCTGGTCGTGGGGGTGCCCGTACATGTCAAAGAACTGCATGCCCTGGATGCCCTGCTGGGAGACGACGTACTCGCCGGGCTCGTCAAAGACCAGGAGGAGTTCCTCCCGCTGGCCACCGGCGAGGACCAGGACCTCCCTCCTGCGGGGTTGCCCCCCGTGGGTCACCCCGTCGCTCGCCACCACGTAAAAGGGCACCGCGTGCTCCTTCCAGTCGTAGGTGGCGTAGTCGACCTCCTCGCCGGGGGGGGCCTTCTTGTAGACGATGAAGGTGTTTTCGTTCTCGATCGTCCCGCACAAGACGCGGAGGTGGAGGACCTCCCCGACCCCCACGCCGCCAAAAACGGGGGTGATCTCCCCGTTGACCAGAAAGGGGTGGATCTTGGAGAGGGTCGTCTGGCCCGCCAGGAACTCGTCGACCTCGACGTCGTGGTCCGCGTCGGGCTTGGCGTCTTTGACGCTCTGGAGGGCCGGGTCCCAGATGACAAAGTCCCGGCTGTCCCTCACGTTGTACCGCTCCAGATCCTCCATGAGCTTCCCCTCCACCTTGACCAGGCCCATCATGCCGCCCCAGAGCTGGACGGCCGAGGAGCCGTGCAGGTGCGGGTGGTACCAGTAGAGGCCGTCGGGGTGGTCCTCCGGGACGTCGAACCTGTAGCAGTAGCACGAGCCCGGGCCGATGGCCACGTGGGGGGCTCTTGGATCGTGCGTTCCCACCGGATCGAACATGTGGACCTGGACGTCCAGCCCGTGCAGGTGCAGGTTGGTCCAGTCGAAGTTCCCGGGGATGTTGGACCAATCGACCTCCATCAGCTCGGGCGCGTCGACGGGCTTTTTGTAGTACTCGTACTTGATCTTTTCGCCGGGGGTGATCAGCCGGGACCAGTAGTCGTACAGGGTGACGTTCTTCGGGAGGAGGCCCTCCGTCTCTTCCGGAAAGAGCTCGTTGCGGAACTTGATGTGCATCGACTGGCCGGGCTTCACCGTCAGCGTGGGTCCCATGTGGTTGTTTCCTCCCTCCCGTACCCGGTTCGTGGTTGGATCGGGACGGGCAAAGGTCCTCCCGCGGAAGGTGTGGTTGCCAAAGGCCAGTTTTATCGTCTGAACGCTCGCCACCAGTTCGTAGTTGACGTCTCCACCGTTGCAGGGATCGTTGCAGTCGATAAAATCGGTGGTCTTCCTTCCGCTGCCGCTGCTACTGCGGGGGTCGGCATAGGCCGACACCGTCGTGGCTGTGGCCGATAGCAGCAGGAGCAGCGCTGCTGCGCATGCGAGCGCCGTTCCCGGACGGTTGGATAGGGTTTTCCTCATTGTTTGCTCGAATGGACGCATGGGTGCGGTGCGGTGAGGTTGGGCACTCGGAAGGAACGGATGGAGCAGAACGAGGACTTTCGATGGAATCAATCGATTGTTTGTTTTGTTTTGTGAGTTAGCGTTGAATGGCTGTTTGTTGCGATGTACTGTACCGGTAGTGCAATTCTTTTGCGAACATCTCGGATTCTGCTTCGGCGTCCGAATCGAAGTGAATAACCGTGTTGTCGTATCGTACTCGTAGGACGCAGCGGAGGAACAGAACGACGACGAAAGAAACCAACGATCCAAAAAATTCGTTCGTATTGTTGTTGACATAGGGTGTGATGCCCTTCGGTTGACGAGATCCTGCACAGTCCGATTGGTATCGTACTTGGTACGTACCTTACTTGGTACCGTACTCGTACATTCGACGATGGAATGTTCTACCCGTAGCGTACGAAGACGAAGAATGTACGGCACATTACTGTATTTTGAACTCGGATCACCACCCCCTGCCTCCCTTCGCTTCGTTGTTCTCATTGGTGGAGCCAATGGAAACAACCTAGAAAGACACGTCACTGAATCCCATTCGTCGAATGCACTCGCTTTCACCGGGAAAGAAACAAATTCCGAATTCTCATTGCAGCACAGTATATAATATATAATATACTATGTACGAAACGTAATAAAATACAGTACTAGAATACCTTGTTCGTTCGATCCCCTCTTTCTTTTTTTTATCAGTAGGGTAGTACGTACGGTATCTTCCGGGTCGAACAAGACCACGATCGAATCGAATTTTGGTTTTGGATTTTCGTTTGCACGATCTATCAATCTATCAAGGGTGCAGTTCGTGTTTGTTCGATTCTGTACAGAACCATGGTTCCATACGTACGCATACGAGTACTCGTAAGCTCACGACTCGTCTCTCGTCGCACTTGCTCCTTTTTTGGTCCGAGAGAGAACCGTCGCTTGTGTCGTCTTTCATAGGCTGCAGCTGCTTTGCTCCAAACTGCCGTTTGGACGACCCAGACACATGCGTCGGCCGGAACGGCTTCGTCTCGGTCGCGACTCGTACGGGTCTCTGCCTCGGGATTGGATTCCTTCTCGGCGTTCGTTGGCACGATCCACACCGTCGAACGCGGGGCCGATGCACACCGCGAAGCGCCGGTGCGGACTGGTGGTCCGCTCCCCCTCCCTTTTCGAGGCACGGTGGGTTGTGTTGTGGCGGGAATCGATCCCACAACACGAGAAACACGATTCTGCACGAATGCAGCGGTACGGTAGCTTCCACCACCAGCAACAAAGCATCCCAAAGACCAGGAACAACAGCAACAAGAGCAGCAGCAACAGCAGCAGCAACAACAACAACAACATCAACAGCAGCAGCAACAACAACAGCAGCAGCAACAACAACAGCAACAGCAACAGCAACAGCAAGGCCAATGTCGAAAACGCCCTTCCCGAATCCAGCCACGGCGGAGCAACCATCGCCCCCGTCCCGCGGCAACGGCGCCACAACCGCCGCGAGACGCCGGAGCATCGGCATCGGCAACGGCAACGGCAGCGGCGACGCGGGAAGCTTTTTTTCCAGGGCAAAGCCCAACCTGCGGCGCTCGAACGTCTACTGCCCTGCCGGCGCAAGGGCGATCCACCGAAGCACMGAGCGGGGGGTCGCCGCACCGTAGCGCGGTATGCCACAACACCGGCGTTGGTCCCGGGCCAACCGGGAGGAACCAAACCGGTGGAGCGCCGGAGCTGACCGAAGCGATTGTCCTCCAAAGACGAAACGCAACAGAGACCAAACAAGTAACAATATAGACGAAATGTTATAGATTTACTACAGTACTTTCTACTCTTGGCCTCACGTAGCAGAAGGATCGAGCTACGAGAACACTCTCCCTCCACTTCGGAGATAGAGAACCCTATCTATCGCTCCATTCTAGTCCGCTCCGGTCCCGGTACGATCCGTCTCGGTTGGTAGATCTCTGGTGGGTTCTCCATTGGTTCAATGAGATTGATCAATTGGTTGTGAAAAAAAAAACCTGTCAGCCCCAGTAGGGTCCAGACCAGTTTTTTCTTGGCTATTTATGCCTGCGTAGATTCCCTTCAAGGGCTTTCATAGGCGAGCCTCGTACTGCGAGAGGGGACCAMCACCAACAGAACAGCCTTACCCAGCTGTTTGCAGTGCTCGCTACGAGTATAACATCCCCACTAGTAAGTAGTACTAGAGGTTATCCAGTCGTAAGCAGTAATGGAAATTCTCAAGTAGTAGTAACCTCTGATACATCCCCAGTAGTAAGGACCACAAAAACACTTTGAATAAAGTTTTTTGTGTGGAGGGGGGGGGGCACGGGAAATAAAGACGGGAAAATGAAAAAATGACAGCTGGCAAATTGCCAATGACTAGCTAGTACAGAGCTTGCCTTAAAGCTCTATTACCTAATAGAGCTACAAAAGGCAAGCCCCATGCTAGCAAGTGATTGGATATTCCTGTACAAGAGGAAAAGTAAAGATGGGAAAATGAAAAAAATGAGAGATGGAGAATTGCCAATGACCAGCTACTACAGAGCTTGCCTTAACCCTCTATCGCCTAATAGAGCTACCAAAGGCAAGCCCCATGCTAGCAAGTTATTACTAGCAACTCCCGTACAAAATCCACACACCAGTCCCTTGAGTTTGAAGCTTCTGTATGCCGGTCCATTGAGTATAGATAGATCTGCACGCAGGTCCCTTTCGTATGAAGCCTCCAGACACGGGTCCCTTGAGTTTGAAGCTTCCGTACACCGGTCCCTTGAGTATCAATGAACACTTTTGGCGTTTGTTTGATCATGAATGTGAGCTGTTGCTCCGTTTTTGAGCAAGAATTTGTGTCCATGAGAGGAGCATTGTTTTGCGTGCTATTTTAGTACCATAAGTACGGAGGAAGAGGTCCAGCATTGGATGCAGCAGCAGTTCCAGTACGTACAATCTTTTGGATTGGTACTGTAGTACTGCAATGTTCAGGCCCTGGAGGTTCGGAATTGAACTCCTTGATGAATCTATTGCTCACAATCAAGCACTACTAACAAAGGATCTATCCACAGCAGCTTCAAAACTGTGAAATAGTTGTAGGATCTCTAGTGTCGTACCCTACTCGTATGAATACGTGTTTACAAAAGAGAGTGAGGTTATTCACTACCTATTCGTGATTGTGGTGTTGATGTCTCACCGCCAATAACTTGTCAGTTAGGAGGGGCTTGCCTTCAGTASCTTTATTGACTAATGTCGAGAAAGTTCCAACTCAAACGCGACCAAAACATACKTCGATGAAATCGTGTCAATTTATACATAGGAAGGAATATACGATCGATTACGTTCCTATGAAGCTTTCGAGSGTTCTATGTAGTTTTGAAAATTCTCGAGAACCGCGACCAAAATCTCTSTAACAAAAATGATSATAGTGSASTTAAGCCGCAGTAGGACAMTGCTCTCATAATTTCGAAAACTCCTTTCCGTAAAACCGAAACCTTCAAACCRAACCCAACTAAAGTACCAAAGAAATACGAAATAAATCAATAACTAGATAAACAAGCAATGATATTTAATCCTCTGTACAATTCGAAAACGATCCTCTTGGTCGTTCTTGCGCTCGCGATCGTCGGCGTGCCATCGATCGACGGGTTTGCTGCGCGTCCGCTTCCCTCTTCGTCCCCTAGAACCAACAACATCCGTCCCGGTGCCCGGGGGCACGGCCRCACCGGAGCCGCTTCCCTGTTCTTTGCACCAGTGGCACCCACCGACATCGTAATAGACTCGTCGTCTCTCTTCCGGGCCAAGTGCGCCATCGCCAAGACGGCSGGCGGCCTTCTCGGCGAGGGCGTCCGGCAACAGGCCAGCCCGGACGACATCGCGGCCCATGCCCTCACCGACGGCTCCCACCTCCTCTCAGACCTGCCCTCCGTCCTCGACGGGACGGTCACCACTAGGAAACGATMAGCTAAGAACCTCCGGCTACAGTACGCCCAGTTCGYGGGCAGACTCATGGCCTTTGCGGTGGGCTTCCTCCCCCACCACGGATTTCCGGCGGAAGAGGTCGYKGTGCAGATGGTGCTCCTGGGCGTGAACGGGAGGCCAATCCTACGATCGATCCGGCTCCTCCAGAGCGTGAGATGTGGCCAAGATCCCGACTGCTGCTAACGGGCACAAAGAAAGYGGTCCGGCAGGCGCGGGGGACAAGAGGGCAACAYATCACAATCCAATCCAATGCAATACAAAATAATAGACAATATACTAAGAAGATAGAAACCTATAGAATACATTCAATATACAWCACAAATCATTCTACTCAGAAATCCTTACTCCTACTAGAGCAACACTACAACTCGGAACAAGAGAACGTGCTRMCATCTCGAATCACAAAAAAACTTTGTTCGAAAACACATTGAATGTTTGAATTTGTTTGCATATAATACTTATTATTACTTCTTGATAACAAGTGTAGTTGTCAAAAGATATTTATCAGACGTGGTCTGTTCCAGATCCAGCTTTTTATTTTTTTCTATCTCCTGTCATGATCGCATCACCTCGTTTGTGTTGTCATGGCATGATCRGTATAGTATTCTTTGGTATTTTTCTCCCGTGGCATCCTGCCATAGCACGCTATACCCAGTAATGGGCAGCGATTCCGTGTTCCCTGAGGCTGGTAAAAAACTCGAGGGAATCCTGCATCGACCCCATCATGGTGTRTTTCCAGAAGGGTGCCAGTTCCTTCATCGTTACGTGGTGTTCGAAATACAAGACGTCCACCAGGCCGGCCAAGTCCGGATCTTCGAGCAATTGCTTCGCCAGCGGAATCTCAATGCTCGACGTGTCAATGTCAAGCTTGACGACGATGAAATCTTCCGGGCCAAAGGTGTCGGCGATCATCCGCAACGGGTTGCGATAGGACTTCCAATCGGATTCGACACCGACGTTGTACCAGTGGTAGGCCGCCTTGAAGTTATCTGGGATCGCTTCATACACCAACGCCGGGTCCTTGGKCTCCAGTTCGTACGCATAGATGTGGTCGAAGACAATGCCGAATCGTTGGTAGAGTTCCAGGAGCTCAATTGAAGGCGTGGGGTTCTCGTCTTSCKKKTTGTGGAAATCGAGGGCGGCACCGAAATCGACGAAGACGGTTCGGCTGTATTTCGAGATGTGGTTTTTGCAGAGCGTGGCAAAGTCGTGGATCAGGTATCCTAAGCTGAGCAATTCGCTGGTGTTGATTCCGAACATATTCGACGTCGATGGGCCGAAACAAAACTCAGGATGCCTCAGGGGTGGCAAGAACGGTTCGATAAATCCGCCGTGCTGCTTATGGACGCTTTCATTGGCACCATTGTTCCTGGAAGTCCACGGGAGTTTCGACAGAGAGGCCTCGCTTTTGAAGACTCCTCTCAAGCCATCAGGATGAACCTCTAAGGAATCACAGACCGCTCTGTTGTGTGTCTCGTCATCCTCATTGTTGCCGCTGCTTGCGGGAAGATAATTCCGCAAGTCGTGTTTAGTACCATCCACATTATCGTCACCAATCTGGTAGTTCCATTTCCAATTGGCAAGKAGTCTATCGTACTCTTCGAGTTCGGCGCGATAGACTTGTAAGCCCTGGTAGATAAGGTTGTCCTTTGCTCCCCAAGCACCGTTTGCGGCAACAGATACAGTCGGATCCGTCCACAACTCACAGCCGCTCGGCATTTCTTCCATATRGGYCMGGAGGATTTGTTTGTTGCCTTCATCTCTCAGTAGTTTCATCTCTCGATCATAGCCCAATCGCTCATTTGTTCTGCCGTTTTCTATCACATAGGCCTCGAGCATCGAGGGCTCGTAGATTTGGTGGACCGTAATATCTGATGATGGGTCTTTGAATGGATTAGGGTATTTTCCAATCGCGAGAGACTGTTTTGCACCGCGATCTTCAAGGCTGTTCATGTACTCTGCTTTTTTGATAACGACCGACTGCGTGGCATCGTCTGGTGGTGTGAGGGTCGCAGAGCTCCCCGCTATGATCCCGAAGCTTACGCTCGACATGGCGAGGATGGTAATAACTGTCACTGTGTACCGGCTCGAAAAGGATGTTAGAAGTGCCGGGGAAGACGGACCACGGCAACACGCCGATGACAATGTCGGCAGTGCATTGGGGCTCCGAAAGAGCTGTCTCCGGACATTGTTGTCAGCGTGGTGCTTGTGCTGCGTGTGGCGTTTGCTGGGTGCCATTGTCATTTGTTGGTCTGTGCGTTGTTTCTTTCTTTGGTGTTTGTGATAGTAACATGCAAACMAATGGTTTCGTATATCTTGCTGTAGGGGGATCCACTTACATCACATACACTAGGCCATTCCTAAATACTACGTAAGCTTTTTGCAGAGCGAAAAGCATGCGCTGCTTTTGTCGGAGATTTTGAATGACTTGGACTGCTTTTGTCGGAGATTTTGAATGACTTTTCTTGAATCTTGAACGAGTTCAAAACATAGGTACCTGGTACAGTACCGTACTACGCGCAGTACATTTTCTTTTTTCTTCAATAACGGCATCCGATCCAGGTACGAGTGCCGTACGTACGGTCAGGTACACTTATTTTAAATAAAAAAAAAAGAGAATAGTCACGACACTACATGCCACAAGTACGAGTACGTACGTACCCAAACTACCTTGCTTGGGAAGGAATTCGTACTTCTAACTCGTATCTCGACTCAAGAAAATGACAATACAGTAAGGCAAGGGGAGAGCCCAGACGTTTCGTTCGAGAATGAGTGATTCCCGATATTACAGAAATGCTAAATTTGATAGACAGACAGACCAAAAATCTATGACAGATCATCATAGATTTAGCATTTTTAGAATGGGTCAACTGACCCCATTCTAAATGTGCTAAATCTATGATGGAACCCAAGAATCAAAATTTTGAGTCTGTTGTAAGATTCAACAGAAAGGCCCGCCAAAATTAAGACTAAACAAGAAGACACGAGCATGCTCCATGGTCAACAAATATCCAAGGCGCCTCTACTACTACTACTAGTATTAAGAATGGCGCCCAGTTGGGACATAAAGTACTATGTCTCGATCAGTGCTGTTAGTCAGTACATTCTATTTCCTTTCTTTGTTGCAGCAAAGAGAGCAAGAGGAGGAGGCCGAGCAAGAGGAGGCCGACGCCATCAACCTCAAAGAGGAGCAACAACAAGGAGGAGCTCCTCGTCATTGTCCAGCAATCCCCAAGACTATATTTGTTAGTATGCCTAATCCAGCTGGCGCGCTGCTTGGCCGCAGGAGTGGCACTATGAACTACTCCAGAGAGGAGATCACCAGTCTCATGAGATTGATAGTGGATGTAATCCCAGTATGTGCTGAGGGATGGGACTTCATTACAGCAAAGCATGCTGAGAGTTGGCCTTTTGGTAGTAGGACCACGACTTCCATCAAGACTAAGTATGAAGCTGTGAAGAGGATCAAAAGCTCCACCAGAAATCCCAATATCCCCGAGTACGTGAAGCTGGCCCGGCTAGCCCACAGGTTGATTAGTGAAAAGGCAAATCTTGGAACTGGAGAGGAGGTCTTTGATCTGGAGCAAGGCTTTGCTAAGAGTGTGGCTGTGGCAAGTTCAGAGCCTCCTCCAGCTTCCAGAGAAACTGAGACGCCTTCAGGAGAAACTTTGACTGCTCCGGGGGCTTCAGTTATTCTTGCTGGAGATGCATCAAGTAGTGTCGATGGTGAAGAACAACAGGAGCAGCAGGAGGAGTTCCCTGCTGTAGCTTCCTCCAGCAATTTGACCCCTTCGCTTGTTGAATCTACCCCGGCAAAGAAGAGATCTTATCAGCAACAGAAGAAATCTGCTATTCCCGATGCTGCTGTATTCAATGAATTCATCATTAAGCAGGAACAATGTACTGAAAAAAGAGATCAAAGAGAGGACAAAAGAGACGAACGCATCATTGAGATGTGGAGTGGTGTAAAGGATGTGGCAGAGAAGTTTCTTGGTGCTGCTGTTAGCATGATGAATACATGGCAACAACAACAACAACAACAACAACGATCTTACCATGGTCCTCCTCCCCCCTACCATTACCAGTATGGTCCTCCACCTGCTTCTGCTTCTGTTGCATCGACTGTTGCATCCACTGCCGCTTCGACGCCCCAGCAGCCTCAGCCTCCACACAAAAGACAACGCCGACAGCATGAACAGGAATCCCATGGTGAGGATGTTTAAATCGTTACTTTACATTAGACTAAATTAACTACACTAAACTGTATCTGTGTGGATAGGAAACAATGAGCTTGAGCTTGTTACTGTGTTATCACGTACTGTTCTACTAAGCTGAAGGTTTTCTTGGGAAGGTTTTCTTGGGAAGGTTTTTGTGTATACCAATGCAGGATTAGAACAGTTACACTTATAATCCCACGTGGTAAGTCCCATGAAAACGGTTCTGATCGGCATGCACATGTTACATATCATATCCTCGTCTTCATTACAGTATAACAATGAACTTTTACTCATGTCCTTATACATTGTTATCTACACTATCATTTGTCTGTCTCAACAAACACGGAAGCCGGTCACGAAGCAGGTCACAGACATACAAGAAAACCTCAATGAGACAGCTTACAGCAAACAGCAAGGTTCCCAGCAAGCTCCCCCCTACAATGCTCCTTCATTATATCACAATGAGTACTGTTTAGGAGCAAACACAGTAAGCAGAGTAACCAAACGCGGTAAGGGAAGTAACTATTGAATGTTGTCGACCATGGTGGTGATTGGATCAGTATCGTATCGACCTGCTTGTATCGCGTTGGATGATCTGATTTGTTTTGAAAAGGACACTGTTAAGCTGGATCRATTACTACACCACCTTTTGTCGAGCTCAACTAACTAAACATGCATCTTCCGCAACAACTAACTAAACATGCATCTTCTGAAACAACCACAGAACCGAATCGACCATGGGAATCATGGTCGGAATAGCGAATTTCCATCAGGGGAGATCCCCCTTCCTACATGGAAGTACCCTCCTGCAAGCTCATTTCTTAACTCTTGATGAGGAATCGYGGGGTCCRTCGCCGGTGGTGTCCTCATGAAACTTGATAGGATCATGTTGTGTCCTACATAACTACACTGGTAGTTATACAAGTTGATAAGAAGGTTCATGGTGATCTTTCTTTCCMCCTGMTCCTCCAAGCACATCCTGTCTTTGATTCTAGGGAACTGTCCCTGGATCATGCGCATTCCCCACTCGGACATCTGTCTCAAGGAGGTCGCGTCCCTGTTGAGAAGTATCCGCTCTGGTTGATCTGGGTCTCTCTGTGAGCTTTTGATGAGGCTATCCTTGCGTGTATTCCTTCAGGGCAAAGGCTGAATCAACCACRACCTTTCCACCACACTCTTTATGGACCTCCACAATCCTTTGGTACACACCATGCTCRGCAATGGCRCTGTCGTGCCATGCCCCTGGGCAGTTGTACACTGCTATCCTGATCCTTCCATCMGGTGCAAAGGCAAATACACTGTTGACGTAGGTGTTCTCCTTCCATGCATTGTAGAATGGTCTTTGTTTGTACCAGTCTCCTGAGGCTTCAATCACTTGCTTGAGCCCATCCGCAGCACCCCAGACGCGTTGTTCTCCAAGCCTTGGATACTTGTCCCCAATTGCCTTAACATAAGTATCCACCTCTTGCTGAGTTGGGATCCTGACCATGGCCTCTGGATGCTTGTGAAGAGCAACAAGCATCAATCTTCTTGAAAACTTGAGCCACTTATACATCACTGTGGATGTTAATCCAAAGGCCATCGCCATTGACCTTGCTACCGATCCGCGTGTCCTGTACCAGTAAAGGACCAGTCCTATTGCACCGACTGCATCAACCTCTCTCTTCCTTCCCTTTGGTTTGCCACTGGGGAAAYAAGCAACTTCCACTATTTCATTGTCGGCGTTCACTGTATACTTGTTCCATACTGGAGCAAACAGGTCCACAAGCTCCCTGAAGACCTTGTGGTCCAGACCACAGCAGTTCATCAATGCTTGGTCGTCCCCTGAGTGGAACATGTAGAGGAAGGGGAAATCACCAGCATATCTCCTGATTGCAATCCTTGGAGTTCTCCTGTCCCTATGACATCTCTCTTCTGGAGAGAGCTTGCTTTTGTAGCTTTGCTCCTCCTGTTCCTCTGAGTGCAACTGGAGGTACCAGTACRTGGTGATCACTTCCATTAATCCCATTGTCGATGGTCGATGTTGCCTTTTGTTTTGCTGGGAGGAAACTGTGGTCTTTTTGTGTGTTTGTCGACTCKTTAGCGTAGAACATAAACTCATTTCCTACTGAAAATAAGCAGAAAATGAGTTCATGTTTTACTCTAGTTGAGTATCGAAAATATCATGCCGGTCCATGTTTTAGTGCAAGGGATACACTGTGTTTTTTGATACGCTGAGATTTTACTAGTATCAAACATATAGTGTATCCCTTCCATGTTACTCTTTGTCAGATGGTTGATAGCCTAAATCAATCCACTCATTTTCTACTGAAAAGAAGTAGAAAATGAGTGCATTGATTTACACTAGTAGTAGCTACTASTAGTTGTTGAGTATCGAAAATTTCATGTTTTCCTTTCTTGCTGTACCAAAATGTGGCGTGCGTTTTGAGTCTTTTTAGTCTTTACATTGGAGAATAGTTAAGATTCCAAATTCCTGGAAAGACTGGCATCAAGCTGGCCATGCTCTCAGCCTGTCCGTTGAAATTCAGATTCCTGTTATTATAGAAGTGCTAAACTCATAGATTCCGGAATTCTATCATTCTATACTAATATCGGGAATCACTCAATAATTCGATTTAAAAAAAAATCTCCCATCTCAATTTCCCCTCYCCCCCCTGCTCTGTGCCTTGCCGCAATTTCATGGTCCCTAACGTGGCGTTTCTTCAGCGCAGTTTCCGTTTCTGTCTTCCCACTTCCCACACTTGCAGTTCCGTTTGTGTTTTCAAGAAAAATCCAAAATCGAAAACACGTGCAACACCGACGATCAGAGACGGGAAGACATCGTACACGCGAATTAACGAATACGGTGCTAAATCATCTTTTCCCCGACGATGAGAGACGTCGGAAACTAAAAAAGAACAGCAATCTTTTCCGAATTTCCTTAACGCCGCGTYATGACGACAAGGTTTCGTTTCGGATAAAGGCGTTGGGCTGTGTTGCATTTTCCCGTATTGCGACCAGACTGATTGGGATGTTCGTGATGCATAGGGTACGCAACCACCCTCCTCGTTGCACGTGCCATTGTGGCACCTCCTACTGTGTGATGAGGGCGACGCTGTTGCTCGCAGCGATAATCACATCGAGCACTGCCATTTGCAACTACGGGGTGGTCGCCTACATCATACTTCCCTCTTCCAATACCGCCTTCGGAAATACGCCACATTCGTCACTGCGCATATCATCGGTAAGAGAAGCAGTCAAATCGGAACRAGGRCTTAGCACCAACAGTGGCAGCAAGATCAACAACAGCGAGAATGATGTAGACGAATACGCGGTAAACATGAACAATGTGAACAGCGGGCGGCGATCCTGGGCCTCGTCCCTGCCCCTTCCCGAGAATGCCATCGATGAGGAGACTGCCAACCGAGCTAGGGCCGCGATGGAAGGACCGAATCCACCTGCCTTGGAGGGTCGTTGTGCTGTCAACCTCAACTTTAACATTCTGCCGTCCGCATCCGGCTCAGCATCCGAGGGGAACAGCTGCAGCGGTGTCCAATGGCTGCATGTTGATCCCCCAGTTCTCATAGTTGACGACTTTCTGACCGAGGAAGAATGCCAGAACGTTCTCCAGCTGACCAGCCAGCAGCTGCCACCCGATGCCGGGAGGGTCATCCGGCTCGAGAGTCGGGTCAACTCCAACGGGCAGGCATCCAACCGCCGATCCACCACTTGGTACGTCCGGTACGGCTGCAAGGCGCTGGCACCGCTCTTCCATGGCCTCGAGGGATTGCTGCCGACCGTCCGCCGGAACCGCATCGAGGAGGTCCAGCTGGTGAGGTATGCGGGGCCCGGCCAGGGATTCGCYTGGCACGAGGACGCCCWGGACGAGAAGATTRCTAYGCCGTCGAKMGGGGGGCAACGGGTGGCGACCGTCCTCGTCTATCTGGACGACGTGGTGGACGAAACCAAAGAGGATGGCCCGGGGGGATCCCTGTCGTCCCTGCCATCGAGCGGGAGGACCATGTTCCGCGACCTCGTTGGCCCCGGCGGGGAATACCTGGCCGTGGCACCCAGGCGGGGCCGGGCATTGCTCTTCTTCCCGGCCATCACTGGCCGTACGGAGCTGAGCGATGCCGCATCGGCCGCCGACGAGAGGAGCCCCGGGGCACCGGAGGGGCGAAAAGCCACTTTTGGWGAAACACACTCCTTTGACGATACCCGRCCGGACCATCGGACGATGCACGCGGGAGAGCCACCGGCACCAGGGGAAGAACGGGGCGGTGCCAAAGGGCCGGTGTCGACTAAGCACATTGCCCAGCTCTGGATTCATTCGAGCGACCACTCTCCGGTGGTGTTTGGGCCRGGACTGAACAAGCACTCGGATGCCCAAAAGCACATCGACGAGCTAAGAGTGCAAGCGACAACAAGCAACTGAACGACGCAACGGACCGAGCACCGACTATCAACAAAAGGAAGGACTACCTAGACACCAAAAGAGGYTAGATAGAAACTCTGTGGACCAACCAAATAATAGCAGTTCGATGGAATAGCCCAACACGTATGCATATACCAGTATTCTATCAGCACCCAGTGGAGGAGTCCACACCTGAATGACTTTTCCATTCTAATATTACGCTGAGGAGCAACCAAAATTTATTTCTTACTCGTGAGTACTTGCCAGTAGTTGAAGATTATTGCAATAATATTAATTTTCACTCGTTCACTCKTATAGGACCAAGACAACAAGTGCAGCGAAGACATCTCGCCCATTGTGTTGGCGTTCTAGTAGAGAGGTCTCGAATCGTCTCGTTTCGAAGCCAGATTCCTTGGTTATCTCTTCGAGATACCATCGCTTATGGGCATACCTCGCACATGATTGAAGAGCGTATGGCTTGTCGTTAGTGTCAAACGCACCGTCGCTGTCATTTCGATCCTGTTCGAAGAACTCAATTGTGAAGGCAAACACACCACCGTCGTTTAGAATTTGTCGTATGTCGTCGAAGACGCTTCTAAGGTCTTTAATATAGCAAAAAGTGTTGCAAGAAAAAATGAGATCGAACTTTTTGGAGGCAAGCAAGCCATGGTTGGGATTCGTGCATCTTTCGAGGTGCTTCGGCTGCCGTCGGAGGACACACTCGACGTTGCCTACCACTARCTCGTCGTAGCAATTTCGTTGGCGGGCTTTGTCGACCATTGCCGGCGATAAATCGACCCCAATCATGTGTTTCACGCAAGACCGAAAAGCAATTCCGGAACACCCGGCCCCGCAGCCTAGATCTGCTGCTTTGTTTGCCCAGGTTGTTGTTTGCTTGTGTTGCTGTTGCGAYGTCATATGCGATGTTTCGATTACTTCATCTACCAGCGTTCTGAGTTTGGCTGGTGTATCGTAATGCGGACAAATTTGCTGCCGCGGAATGACGTTGCTGAATAGACCCCGCCCCTGCTGCTCAACTTCGTGGACATCACAAAGCTCCGAAAAGGCCAAGCCACCATCGAACATCAGTAATTGACCTCGTTCGAATTCCTTCCATTCTTCGTCGCGTGTAAGCGGCGATGTTGCAATCGTGGCGACACGGTCGTTTTCGTTTGTACACTTGGAAAAATCTACTTCGTAGTCAACATCTGTCAGTTTAGCTGTGGAAAAGGGCGGCTTTCTCACAAGATAATGAAGGCCATTCCAGACTTTAGATCCCGGCCGAGATCCCGGCCATGAATAAGCGAACAACGTATACTGGCCACAACCAAGCAAAAAATTGAGAATGGTCCGATCTTCGTCCCCTTCCACCAGCTGAGCACACAGGCGCTGTAGGGTTTCGTACAGTAGAGGAAGTGTGGGCAACTCGGTGAATTCGGCTCGCAGRGCATTGAGAATCGCACAAAAKGTTGCTTCGGAATCCGTCGTGCCAACCGGGTGATAAAAAATGCTGTCTCTTGGATTCGTCTTCGTTCCATTCTTTTGACGGCAGCCCAATACGGGATATTCCGCATATGATTTCTTGTCGCTGTATTTCGGCACTTCCCCGTTGTGCGCGAAGGACCAGTTGATCCCCCACAATTCACGCTGGAAGGGATGAACATTTTCCAGAGCTACCTCTCCCTGTGTGGCGTACCGGATGTGGGCCATCATGTTGAGGGTTTTGATGGGATAATTCTCTGCAACGAACTYGGCAACCTTGGAATCGGCGGCGGGTGCAGAGTCATGAAAGGTTCGCAGGCCGTGGCCTTCGTAAATTGCCATGCCCCATCCGTGCGAATGAATGTCGGTTTCTCCTCCCCTTTTACAAAAGCCACGGAAAGAGAAGTTGAAGTCCGTCGGGGTGGCACAGTTCATGCCCAAGAGCTGGCACATGCTTGAGTCTTGTTGCAGTATTGAGTTATGCTAAATTCGTTATTTGGAGTCCTTGAGCGTATTTTCTATGTTCCTCTGTACATTATTTGACTTGAACAACAAGGTAGACCTTCGTTTGTTTAGTTTGAGTTGAGAATTTTTKATTTGAAATTGGTTCCGAAGTTGTTCCTCGGTTCGTTTGTTGTGATGTGCGATACAACGGTTGATGCCTCTCRCACTTTTTGACAAGTTCACGTAGAGTACAAGTACATAGTACGGTACTAAGTACAGTACAAGGTAATCGTATTCTCTGTACTTCGAATCACTTGCGTACGTACTCGTACTTRCTATTCCAACGGCGTAAAAACATACCGATGATTATTTCAGTGTCATCACTTCATTTTTTCACAACGATTGGATGACACATAAAGTATTTCATATTTCTATTGGACTCGTTCGAATTGAGGAARATAGACATGTGTTCATATTCTATGTACGTAGCTATTACTACTATCATATRAACATACGAAGTACAAGTACTGTACGTATTAATATTCAAACTTCCTCACTCGTCACTAACTACGGTACAGTAAGGTATCTCAAGAAAATCGGCACAGGTCCATTGCTCAGCAGTTTCGTCATCACACTGCTTTTYGGCGGACAACGACCTCACTCGTTAATCTGTACGGTATGGTGACATATCGTACGTATGGTACTAAAGAGTTGCCAACTCTCACTATGTCACATTGCAATGAGAACCGCGGTTCTTTTTCGTTTTCGCACGGAGAAAAACGATATCTTCTTTGACCCCTACTTTCACGTAAGGAAGAGAGTAGAATGCCATTTTACGTATTGCCGTGACCGAAAGTCAAAGAAGGCAACGCGGTCACGAGTACCGCCGCAGCACCTGTGTGATATCGCACCAATTGCTGCTTAGCACAAAAATCCAATCGACAGAAGACCGGACCAACAACAGCAGCAACAACAAAATCTCACAGCGACGTCAACAGCATGAACGGGACSAAGGACAATACCAAGAATGATGATGCCCCTCCGAAACCAAGCAATCGGCGATAHAGCCAGCGTGTTTCCGGTCGGAGAAAACTCAACGACATTGTGCTGAGGGATGGTCGCCACATGAGATACATTGTGGACGGTCCTTTTCAGCTGGAAAACGATCCCACCAAAATCTCCTCGTCTGGGCTCCCAGTGGTCTTCGCCTTCCACGGTATGTTCATGAGCGGAGAATCGGTAGTCCGGAGAAGGCGACCCCCCTCGAACGAYGACTACGACTACGTGGTGGTGGCCGTCAACCGGATGGGATACCACAGGTCCTCTTCGGTCAGCCTGACACCCGATCGGTTCACGTACACCGAGTTCGCCAACGACATCCGGGAACTCGCCGACGATCTCTCCATCGACCGGTTCGTCGTCGCGGGCCACTCGAGCGGGGGGCCCAACGCCCTGGCCTGCGCCGCCGTGCTGGGCCCCGACCGTGTAAAGGCCCTCGCCACCCTCGGAAGCGACCCGGAATACGCCCACTACGACGACAMCMAGTACGAGTGCATGATCGATTGCTGCATCGGCGTGTGGCTCCCGCGATGCCTGGCCGTGTTCGTTCCCTGTCTGAGGGTCGCCAACGGAATGCGCCACGACTACATCGTCGAGCGTGAGCCCTATTCCTTTGCCACCGAATCCATCGTCCAGCCGGCGCTGGTGCTGGCCGGGGAAGAGGACAACCTYGTTCCTCCCGCCCTGACCAAGCGCATCCACGATCGGTTGCCGAGTTCCGAGTTCGTGGTCGTTCCGGGGGCCACACACGAGGATCTGATTTCCACGGAGAACCTGGACGAGACCTACCGAAGAATTCTCGCCCTGGGTGGCTTGCTAGCGACCCAGGAGGGGAAGGAAACCACAGAAAAGCGCRAACCGACCAGCGACAAACCAGAGGATGCCCCCCCGTCGACGGTTGCGGYGGAAGAGAAAGCGACTCCAGCCACGGAAGTTTGCGACTCGGCAGAATGCTGAGCTGTGCAACWATTTCCCCGAGATTTGTACCGCACCTATTCTTGTTTAACCCGGGGACTGCACTAGGCAGCACACCTTCTTTTTTGCAACATGGTTTCATGTCTCTCCCAGCCTAAAAAAAGTAGAGGTATTATTTTTTGCTTYTGGTGTTCAAGAAAGAATGATATCTAAAATTATAATCGTATCCACAGTAAATTGCGGGGAATACACCGTGTCATCCCGTAACACTCGGCACGTTTGTATGGAACGGCATCACGGAACGTCATCACGGAACGTCATCCAACTATCCCTTTAACTTTATGCGTTTTGTGACTCATCGGCACCAAAGTGCCGTACACAACAACCTATCCGAAGCTGCTCGTCCCCGATGCTTCCGTCCGTTCCACGGTTCCCTGCCGGCTTCGGAAAGGGGTCTTGGCGGTCGGGCTGGTTGGTTGGTTGGTTGCCTAGCTAACTAGCTAGCTACACGAACCGGTTCTCCCGCAACCAGATGTACTTGGAGGTCGCGGTTTCGATCGCGGCCTGCTTCGAGGACCGCTCTGGATCGCTCCCGGCACGGTCGAAGAGCTCCCGGATCTGCTCGAGCCGGCCCCTCACCACCCGGAGTTCCTCCACGGTCCTGTACTCAAAGTGGTTCCCGGCCGCCGTGGCTKCGCAAGGACGATCGCCTCCCCGGCGTGCTTCCCCCGCCCCCGGGGGGTCCTGTTTCCCCCGGCGGAAGGCGCCCCCGGCCCGGCGGTTCTCCTCGAGGTTCTTCTCGCGGCGGGACCCGGCCACGATCGCCCCCGGCGAGGTGCTGGGCACGCTGACGCTGGTGCGCTTGTCGGTCTCGCAAGGGGGTGCTTCTTCGGCGCCGCCGCCACGGCCTTGCCCACGGGTTCCGAGGGTGGCCTTCCTCCGGGCCCGAAAGTGGCGCTTGATCCGGTCGGTCATGGGGTTTTTGGACAACCGCCTCGAAGGGCGGACGGGAGGGATGCGGCCCGGCTGGGAGCTCGCCCCGCTGSCCCATTCGGGGGGGGAGGGACCGCACCGCTCGGGGCCGGGCGCTGGTTCGAAGGCGTCGCTGGCGGCGGTTTCGTCTCCCCCGAAGGACCGGGCCCGGTGCGCCGCTTCCTCCTTGTGGGCCAGGAACAGGCGGCGGGCCCCYTCGTTCGGCCGGACGCCGTTGGCGAGGATGCCCAGGTGGAGCCTCCGGATGGCGGACCGCTCGGAATCGGCCTCCGTGCGTCTCGCGCTCGCCGCCGACGAAAACACGGAGGAGGGCTCGGATTCGCCTTCCAGCGGAAGCGGCCGCAGGCGCTCCAGGCAGTCCTCCCTGCGCCTGCGGGCGGAGGCCAGCTCGGCCTCGAGGGTGCCCACCAGGGCCGTGGCCTCCTCCAGGTCCCTCGACAGCCGTTCCGCCTCCGCAACGGCCTTTTGCCYGGGRRTCGCTGCCTTGGCAACCTTCGGGGGGTCCTCGCAGATGCGGTGGAACTCCTCCCTCCAGATGGCGTCCTCCCACTCGGCACCCGTGGGTGGCTCGGAAGGCACCCTTGGAATGGCTTTTGTGCTGCCGGGGGCGTGCTCCTTGTTGTTGTTGTTGTTGTTGTTGGTGGTGGTGGTGGACTTGTTGTTGCCGCTGCTGTTTTGGTGGTTCCCGAGGTGGGACTGGATGTGGTGGATCTGGTTGTACCGGTACCGCAGAAGGATGCCCTTTCGCTCGTCCTCGGGTGCCATCCGGGGGCGTGGATCGGTCCCGGGGGGGATTGGCATTGGCATTCGCATTCGCACCGGCGAGGCCGCGTCGCCGCCGCTGCCGCCAAGGGGCATTCCGTGAAAGAAGTGTGGCTGGTGGTGTTCCCTTAGAARCGTCGAGCTGGTGAGGATGCTGCTGGTGTTGAGCATGGTGGAAGCGAGGCGGTCGTCCTCCTCCCGGTCCTTTTCCTCTTKTTCGCTGCGGCCGGTGGGTTCGGAACCGCGATGGTCGTCGTGGGGTTCCGTGTTTGGCCCGTGCCCGTGCCCGTACCAACCATCGGCGCTCTCGTCGACGTGTTCGATGGCACTCCCGAGGGCGCTGCCCCCGAAAAAGTCCGAGAGGCCGTCGTCGTCGTCGTTGCCTTGCTCGCCTTCCAATCGGAGGGACGCGAAGGAGTCTTCGCCTCCGTCCTTCCGGATCCCGGGGTGGTCCGCGGGAACGGCCTCGAGGCTGTCGAAAATGTCCTCCTCGTCGTCGTCGTCCTSAATGCTTTTGCTTTTGCTGCGCGAAAAGGATCCGTGCTCCCGGCTTGGGGTCCCTCCGTCTTTGTCTCTGCCTCTCTCTCTGTCCTTTTCGCCCCCGCCGCCGTCGTCGTCGTCGTGCTCCATCATCCACACCCCCGTGTCCGTTTCGGCCTCGAAACGGTTGTCTCCCCCTTGCATCGAATCGTTGTCGTTGTCGTTAGAATTATCATTATCATTATCGTTGCCGCCGTTGTTGCCACCGCCGCTCACTGCGGTGTAGCCGGGTGGAAAGCCCGGTGGCACATATTCCTCCTCGTCGTCGCCGTCGTCGTCGTCGTCCTCGCCTTCCTCCACTATGAAATCCAGGTGCGAGACCACGGTCGTCGGAGATCCTTGCTTCCGCGCCGGCTTGGACTTTTTCTTCTTTTCGGGGGTGAGGAACCGCAGGCAGTTCTTGGTGCGGTGCTCGGGATGTGGTGGTGGTGGTTGTTGTTGGCAGTGTTGTTGGCAGTGTTGCTGTTGCGGATGTTGTTGCCGGCCGTTGTGCCGGCGGATCCCGATCAGGGGGGAGGTGGGGGCCGCCGACGAGGAGCCGAGGGAATCCCCGTCCTCCTCCTCCCGGCGGGGGTGGAGGCGTCCGTTGCTCCCGCTGCTGCTTCCGCTGCTGTTGCTGGTATCCAGGAGCGCCAGGGGGTGGGTCAGGCTCTCAAAGTCGTAGCTGCTGCCGGTGTTGAAATTGCCGTTGCCGCTGCCGTTGCAATTGGAATTTCCATTGCCGCTGTCGCTGTTGGTGCCCTCCGAGCTGCCCGAGCTGCCCTCGGGATTCTCGCTGCCGTGGTTGCTGCCCGTCTCCGGGTTCGGTGGTGGCTCCTGCCTGTGATAGCGGTGCGGCTTGTGCCTCGGAACGATCAGCGCCATCCGTGCCATGGTTGCTGCTCTTGGTGTGGGCGAGCGATGGTTGCCGCCGGTTGGTTTGCTTCCGTTGCGTTCCGTTGCGTGCTTGTGGAGCCCGGTGGAGTTTCCAGAGGGGGTACGTACTTGTATTCGTATTCGTATTCGTATTCGTATTCGTACTTGTATTCGTACTCGGCAGGTGTCGCTTCCGGAACAGAGACGGTAGTTCTGTGCGGAGAGGCGATACGATGCGAGACCAAACCAGACGAGAAGAATGCTTCTTTCTCTCTTGCGGTATGTTTCGGTGCGTTCGTTGCGGTGTGGATGGAACAATACCCGCAATTTGGTGACGTTACGCTACGCTGCGTGACGGGACGGGACGGGACGCGGCGTGCCACACAACGATGGCGAGACTTGTCGCGGTGTTCTTTGGTGCCTAGATTMCAGAAGGTGGTGTCACTCCTGCGGGGATGTCCATGGGAAACACGACGAACACCATCTGTTGTCACCCCAAACTTCCAGCGAAAAATACCGCACCTCGATTCGAGTGCTCGCACACTTTGTCTTTGGAGACGGGAAGTTACGGTCGGTTGCCCGGCGTTCGCGGTTCTTCTGCCGGTATCGTACCGTACGATGCCGTGCCGTAGGATGGTGCGCCGCGGTTTCGATTTGATTTGATTTGATTTGATTTGATTTGATTTCGATTCCACCCCTTCGGAACCCATCGGATCGTACCGTATCCGGTTCGGGAAGGCCGGAGGGGCGGGGCGTGTGCCCTACCGGGAGGCGGAAAGGAATCCACCACCCGGGTATGTACCGTATTGTGCGTACACTAGCGTCCGCAACCGTGGCCTGCCGCCGCCGTGCCGGAGAGGGCGAGTGGGAATTCAAAACAATCGGTGGGGGAGGGATCGGCACGAGAAATAGTGAAAGACCCGGTTTGAACATCGATCCGGGAAGCGGGAAGGCGGTCACGCCCRCCCCCGGTGGAGGGAAACTTCTTTCGCCGATATACCCCATARCATTGCAAAACGGTTCTAGAACATTTTATTTCATATATATAAAATGGGTGTACAATGCTAGAGGGTAGATACGCGGTTGCCACCACGGGTTCCCCAGAATTCCCACCGCGGGTTGCGAGCCGGGGGGCCATTGGAAAGGAAGTGTCGCTGCGTCGGGGCATCCCATCCGGCGATGGAACGCGCGAACGTTCCTCGGCGCGCGGCAGCCAAAAAAACGTTCCGGAGGGGAAGCAAAGCAGGGGACTGTGCAGGGACAAAGGAAGGAACTTTCTGCGTACGGTACGGTTGCTTAGTACGTACGTACGATACGGTGAACGGAAAGGCGATGCGGTACGGAACGGTAGGACTACGAGTACCAATTCTGACACCTGCGGATTCTTTCACGAGCCTTGGTGATTACAGTAATTAATATTAATATCACAGGATCGGACTATCCAAAGAAACCAAAAAAATGTTTTTAGTGTAGCAGCCGTCAAGGCCTACATACACGCTCGGTGCCAACCGACAACAATCGCACAGTGTTGTCGAGTCGAGTCAAGTCGAGAGTCGAGAGTCGAGTCAAGTCGAGAGTCGAGACGAGTCGAGTCGAGCCGAGTCGAAGGACTTCCCTCCAATAGCTTGCTTCGGTCGCTTCCTTCCTTCCTTCCTTCCCTCGTTCCACCCACCAGAACCACGACGACAAACAAAACAGCCGGTGCCTGTCAGCACAACACACTATGCTTGTGCCCGCCCATCGTGCCGCCAAAGCGGTGGCCATCGCCTCCGGCGCGGGGCGGCGGCTCCTGGGACAGAGGCAGCGCGCCGCGGTGGTCCCTCCGGGACGCAAGGGGCTCGGCGGAGGAGCCGCAAGGGCTGCCGCGGGCACGCGCACCGGCAAAAGCGCAAGCAGGAACCACGGCAACAGCAGCAGCAACAGCAGCAAGAACCATCACAACAGCAACAGCAACAAAAACAACGACAACGACGACGAATCCCACCTGAACTGGAAGGATCGAAAGGAAGCCCCAAAGTGGATGAGACGGATCGCACCGTCCAAGGGAGGAAAGTGGCCGCCGACGCCCCAGGAAGCAGTCATTCTTCTTTCCGGACTGRCGGTTTTTCTTTGGTCCTGGACGGCCTAGAACAGAACCAACCGACCGACCGTGCATGCAATGCAATGCAATGCAAATGACGAAAAATAGATTGTTCTTCGCTTTTGGGTCCGCACGCACCGTTTTCACTATGCGCSGCAGTGTAGCAGCCCAATCGCTTTCCTCGCCGTTCCTCGGGAACGGGGAATGGGATACCCAATACGGGACGGCACGGCACGGCAGGCACCCACGTAGAGTACCTGCTATAGTAAACCGTACTGGTGCGATGGAATGGCTCGAGAGGAACAGGCGACGCCCACTTCCTTCCGGTCCGCTGCACGGCATGCATAGAATACCGATCTACGGGGAACCGAGGCCTTCCAGCTACTAGGAATAAGAATAGTAAMAAACCGTAGTAGACGACCGCGGATCATCGAATGCCCGCGATGCGAGGGAGCACGGCCCTCTGCGCATGTCCCAGCGCCGTACGGTGCGTTCGTTTCCCGTATTTGTGTCGTGCTCGGTTCTGCCCGTCCCTGGGCAAAACCAAGCACCGGCTGTGCCGTGCYGTGCTTGTGCTGCGGTGCCGGTGGCACGGCCAGCTTCAAGGGGACCCTGGTTCCGGTTCGCTCCGCGCGAGGCAATCCAAACGGAACCACCCACGGGTCGGGAGACGCGGCGGCGAGGGTTCGGGAGAACCCCTCGTTCCATTGGTGGTACGAAGCACTACTGTATGCGTATGCGTATGCGTGGGCACGATACGTACAGTACTCGTTGTTCGGTTGCAAAGGCGCCTGTCGTGGTGTGTCGTTGGTCGGAGTGCCCGTCTCGCGAAACCATCTGCCACCATTCCAAAGACGATGCCGCCGATGGAACACTAGCGTCAAACCCTCCAAATCCTCCCCGCGCTCTGTTTGCGAGTCACAGATGGCCGATGCAATGCGCAACACAGCAATAGAGAAGAGATGGCAATACGTACTGCCTCACAATCGATCCTTGTTATCTACGGTATCTTGTTAACAAGCTTCAAAAAAACTTCGACGAATCTCGATTCCTGCACGAGCGATCCCAATACCTCGGCAGCCTCAACGAGAAATCGATAGTCAATCGCACCGTACCGTACGTAGCATGTACGTACCGGCAGGGGTGACCCCTGCGTACCGGTTCGTACCTACCGCATCGTACGAGTAATGTTGGACGAGGATCCGACGAAAAAACGACGCACAGACTGCCCACGCCGTTTTCGAGTTCGAGTCACAGTTCGACCGTCCGAACTACGACTCCCTCACCGGAACACCCGCCCCAACTTCAACCAAACCCCACTAAAAACAATACTTGTCGGAACCTTTCGATTCGCTGTGGCGCATGGCAACCCATCCGAGGAACATCCCCCTCCGCTCGGAGCCCGACCACCTCTTCTCACAAAATCAAAACGCAAACAAAGCAAACGCGCAACCAAAACAGCAACTACTACTACTACTACTACTTTTACTACTTTCCTTCCACAACCACCAGCCACAACAATGGATATTCTTCAACTCGTCGCCAGCAACGTTCCCGCCACCCAGACCGTAAGCTATTCCTGCACCCTGACCAACACCTGGTCGGGAGCGACCCACCCCATCGACTACGCCTCCGTCTCCGGGACCGCCCACTGGACGGCCCCGGTCCTCCTCTCCCACAGCCGCATGTACGAGATCTGGTCCCCCGGGAGCCCGGCCTCCCCCGGCGCCGAGGCCCTCGCCGAGACGGGGGCGACGGCGCTGCTGGCCCAGGAAATCGAGGCCGAGCGGCGAACGAGGCGGACGATCGGGGAGCTGGTGGTCGGCCGGGACCAGTTCAACGCGTCGGACCCGCCACAGCGGTTCGAGCCGATCACCATGGGCCCGAGCTACCCCGTCCTGTCGACGATGAGCATGGCCGGGCCGAGCCCGGACTGGTTCACCGGGATCTACAACTTTCGGCCCGTCGACTCCCAAAACTTCTGGTACGAGTCCTTCGAGGTCGCGACCTACCCCTACGACGCCGGCACCGAGCAGGGAACGACCTACTCCATAARCAACGACCCCGAGGTCCCCCACCGGACCATCTTCCGGCTGACCCCGGAGACGGTTCCCGACAGCGGGATTCTCCTGGACCCCACCGGAACCGAGGTGCTTCCCATGGCGGTGTGGAGCTGTTCCCTCGACGGGGATTCTTCCGGCTCCCGGAGCCTGCTCAAGGCAGAATCTCCCTCCCAGGCCCCCAGTATTGGCGACCGCAACCTTTTGAAGGCAGAATCCCCCTCCCAAGCTCCCAGTATTGGAGACCGCAATCTATTGAAGGCAGAATCTCCCTCTGAAGCTCCGAGTGCTGGAGACCGAAACCTTTTGGTCCAGGATTACTCGGAAGCCCCATCGTTCTCAACCCGTGGCCTCGCGAAGCAAGTTCCTACCGAAGTTCCCACTATTTCTACCCGCAACCTATTGAAGGTAGAAACCTCTTCCGAAGCCCCGAGTGTTAGCGATCGCAATTTCCTGGTCCAGGATTACACTGAATCCCCAACAAGTAGCAACCGTGGCCTCGCAAAACAAGCTACCACTGAGTCCCCAACGATTTCTACCCGCAACCTATTGAAGATAGAAGCCTCTTCCGAAGCCCCGAGTGTTAGCGACCGCAATCTTTCGGTCCAGGATTACACCGATGCCCCGAGCACCGGCATCCGTGGCCTCGCAAAACAAGCTCCTACTGAGGCACCAAGCACGGGTATCCGTGGTCTTGCGAAGCAGGCTGGTACCGAGGACCCAACTACTACAACTCAAAATCTCGCGAAGACGCAGGTTTCATCCAATGCCCCAAGCACCCGTGGTCTTCGCGGTTCTCGCAACTAGACATGTACAGTATAATAAATTAGACACTTTTCAATAARTCCCTGACAGTCGTACAAAAAATTGAATTTTTTAGTTCGCCATAACTGATCCCTTTCCAAAAATTATTGAAAAGATTGCATATTYTTCATTACTAAACAATTCATCTTCTTCTTTGTTACTATAGGCAGTTGATAATCATTGCAGGATAGTTATTGTTGCTTGTCATCAGGCTGGGGAGATATTTCCGCGAAGGATTGGCTGTCTTTCGAACAAACCACCGGAAGTAGTTGGTGTCGGATGTTGTTTCATAGTCGAAAGATTAGTGCAGCGTTCAGTCGTATGATTGGTTGTCGTTGTTGGCAGATCTGTTCACAGTGCGTTGCGCTCCTTCGAGACGGCCCGCATCTTCAGGTTCGATTGCGGAGCCGCGGTGGCCCGGAAAGAATCCACAGYCGCACCCACGGTCTTGTCGGCTCCCTTGGACCATCTCGACGCGCTGGCACTTCCTACCAGCATCACCGCTTGGTCGCTACCCTTGGGCAGCGTCGCCACGATTCGCGACCGRCGGGGGACCTCGGTTTGAGTCGCCTGGCTGAGGGTCGAGAAGCTAACGTCTAGCACCTTGTAGCTACCGTCGCCCGATAACGAAGACTTCTTGACCTTGACGTCCGTGGGTTGTCCGTAAAAGGAGAACCGTCCTCGTGGCCCAAACAGAGACTTAATGAGAAATTGATCCTTCACGTCTGCAAGCGATGCGCCATTCAGACCCGGTGTGACCGCCAAAAATGCGCCATCTCCTGTTTTTGTGTCGCGGCATTCAACATCGTAAACAGCACCGGTAGCTATTTGGCGTTTTGTCCAAGGCACACACGAAGAAGAAAGAAAGAGAAGTWAAATGAGYCCTCGAAAATGGAAGGAACTTCTGTCTCTCTAGACTCAGATCCCCCCAAGTACTTCCATCTCCCGATCCCAAGATAAATTATCTAGTTTATTTGATATTTGTCACGTCTTTTCTCCAATTTCACSATCCCCTTCGATTTCGTCAACTTTTTTCACTTACCAAGCGACCAGGGAGACTGAAAACTCGTTACCACCGCCATTTTTTCTCCGCTGCCTTTCTCGTTCACCAAAATCTCGGCCAGGACATTCCCTGATTTGGAATCCCTGGAAATCTCAGTTCCTTCTCGCAGCAACACGCCAGTCTCGGGCTTTGACTTTCCGGCCTGCCCCGAGACCCCCATGGGCATCGACACGCCACCCGTTCGCAAAAAATCGTCAATATCTGTTGTTTCCACGGCAACCGATTTCTGTGGCAGAAGGGTGGATGCAACCACAGCGGCGCCGCCTCCAAGAATTGATCYAATGGCCTGCCGTCTGGAAGAGGAAGAATTTTCGCTTACAGAGAATCCCTCRCTTGAAGAGGCGAGGGCGACGCAAGCAAGGGCAAAAATTGTTGATTTTGTATTTGTCGTCATGATTGGTTTTTTTTTCCGTGGCTGCGGGAGTACTGTGTAGTTCCAACTCGATGAATGGAAAAACAAGGTTATGATAACGATATAYCTTGGATGCGGGACAATTCGGTATGGGAGTACTTTACGATACCGATACGAACACCCAGCAGCTTCGATGATGCTGATGCGATTTCACATCTCTTTCGTTGATTTTAGTGCGTCACCGAATCAGACGTGTCGAAGGATAGGTTAAGGATTGGGATATTTAGGATATTACCGGTAGCTCCCTTCATGACGAAACTCGTCCGCGCTGTTACTAATGATGGTACGTAGTACTTGGTACGGGCTCCTAGAGGTGGGTTTTGTTTCTTGACACAGMACAGCTGTTCATTTTGGCCAAAATGTCATTTTACGTCGATTTTGGCGTGAATTTAGAGTTAGTAGAGATAAAAATAAGAATCAAGCAATCTGATTGGCTAATAATAAGGATTTGGATGACAAAATTTCATTCTTGTGTGAATAAAGAGCAATTTTCTTTTGTTTTGACTACTTTGATTTAATCATAGAATTTCATTCGGAGTGAAGATTGATCGAATTTTGTGTCTTGACTACTACTAGTTAGAATATGTTTTTGACTAGTTTAAATAAGATTAACCTGAACTATAAATAAATGCCAAAACTGCTCTAAAATGACACCATGAATAGCTGTGGTGAAAGTCCATCATTCCTTGATGAAGCACCAGTTACTAACCAGTAATAAGATGCTTTAACCGTTAAAAACCTACTGAACCTGCTTGGGAAAAAGTGATTTTACTCAAGTGGATTTTGCCAACCGTGACGAGCACCTATGAACACAAGAAGGGTGCTGTTACTACAAAGCTCTTTGTTGTTTGCTTAATAATGACATTGAATGCTGTTTGTGTTGCATCTAATCTCATTCTTGTTGAGATACTACTGTATCATTAAATAGGGAAAAATGGCCATAATTCATTAATTTTCAGCACGGGACACCAGCTGTATCTTGACAACCAAGCAGTGCCAGATCTTTAGTATGGGAGTTACTAGACAAGTGGAAAGAGCATTATTCAATTAGCACACCTAGTACATGTTGGCTTATTTGCTTAAGGAGAAGCTGCATTTGGTGCCAAATAAATTTTTGAAACAGAACCTATGAAGAAAGGAATGAGGACAAAGTGGCTTGCAAAATGACTATAAGGAGAGCTCCATGGGCCAACTAGTATCAGATTGAGGGGTGCAGAACAGAGAACTGTTATTGGGTGACTTCTGCTGGTTGAGAAGTTATGTACTACAAGAGACAGGAGCAGGTTTAGGGGCAGCAAAAAGTGCAATTAAAGTAACTAGTAGTACTAGTGACATCAAAAACAATGGGAAGGAGAGTTCCATGGGCCAGACTGAGTAGCCTGATTGAAAGGTGACTATCAGATTGAGGGGTACAGAACAAAGAACTACCATTGTGTGACTTCTGGTGGTAGAAAATAGGCCAGGAGATCTTTATCAAAAAACATTTGTAGACCACCATACTAAGTGCCCAGACCAAGAAGTTGATACAATTACTACCTAAAGATCCCGGGCATTGGGAAGCCAAAGGATGCTCTAGTCAGCCAATGTTACATTAGTGGGTGGCCAAAAATCAGGCGCTAATTCTAGGTGTAATTTTATTACCAATTAACTAGTAGTACCATACGTACTGCAGTACTCCTGTAATAGTTTTGTTTTTATCAGTGTCAAAAATCCAAATTGATCTTGACAACAATACAGTACTGAAAGGGGGGAAGTGCCAACAACTTCTTGCCTTATGTTGGCTCCACTTAGTAGAGGGCCACTAAGAATAAGAGGGGGAAGGGATCAATCAACTTGTTGTTCTGCATTGCGATTGCCTCCATTAAGAGGGGAGGATTCATTGACTTGCTGGCAGCACTTGACAACAACCAACAGCTGAAGTGCCTTCACATCCTCTCTTTGTGCTTTGTGCTTTGTTCTTGCTTCTTCTTGGTGTTTTGCCAATGTGAAGGAAGAAGTGTTTGATGAGTGCAACAACAAGCAAGTGTGAAATGTTGAATAGTAATGTGTTTTTGTGCCTTTGGGCTTCTTGTATGGAAGCTTCTCTTGGTGTGGATGGTGATAACAACTACAAGCTTCCACGCATGGGCAAAGCAAGCCATATTACTCTTCTATTTTCAATCATTTGCAATCCTGATTGCATCAAGAGAAATGCAGGGTGTGATGCGTTACTGAAACACAAGCTGAGGCGCAACACAAAGCCAATGCTGCAGGCAAAAGAGTAGTTCAGTAGAGATATTGGTGTAAAGATTTTTCTGGTAATCATTGTGCAGTATCTTACTGGGTACTTAGTTAGTAGGAGACTATCACTTGGGAGGGACAACACCAGAAGAAATTGAGTCACAAGAACAACAAGACAATGGTGACCAGAACAGTCAGCATGATTCTTCTTGTTGTGGTAGGAGGAGAAAGGAAGTAGTACCAATACATCCCCAGTACTAATTGGCTATGGTGCACTGCACTGCACTTCACTATCTGTAGTGCAGGTAGCCAGTAACCTTGAAGAATTCTTACAGTCTTGGACTTAGTTCCGAAGAAACAAAAAGAAGCTTTTTTTAGTGTGGATTTGTACAAACCCTGGTATATTAATTTTTGCAAATAAATTAGTGCCTTGACCAAAATAAATTATTCATTTTAAACTTAAACATTCAGTCATTATTGTGACAACAAGTCATTCTACTACTACTAGCAATAACCTAGTAGTTTTTGCACCGCCGTTCTACTAATACTAGTAGTACCAGTAGTAGCTACTACTAGTAAGTTTTTTTGGCCGCCGCGTCCTTCAAAAAAAAAACAACGGTGCCAGCCGCAACCAATTTGCAACCAATAATCAATACAGGTCATTTAGCAATAGTACACRCAACAGAAATTCTGAATTAGTTAGCACTAAAATTATCTCCCCAGCAGTAAGGACCCCTAGTAATAGAAATAGTATGTGGATGGGGGGGGAGAGAGGGGAAATGGAGACGGCGAAAGAAAAAAAATAGAAATCGATTTTTGTCGAACGAAACGTCTTCAGTCGTTCTGTTTCAATCCCACTTGTTCAGTTCTGTTCCGGGAGCAGGGCGRCCACGATTTGAGTACACTTGTTTCACACGGCAACGTACCACGGCACGAGTTTTGCATGCACTGACATCTTTTGTCATTTATTCAACACAAAAGGTATCCAGGAATGGCGAGCTCAAAAAGCTATTAGATTGACATATTCGATCTTAGTCYGAGACTTGTAGAATGAAACGGCAGTCTCCCAATACAACTGCTTCGTTCAGTAATGGCAACTGCACACAAATTGCATTCATCGCTACATGTATTTTCTCGGCGCCATGAATTTAATGAATTTTTTTCCCCACCTCTTCCTGCTAGTAATAGTGGTCTTTCCTGCTAAAGGCTTTATCGTTATGCAGAGCAATACGATGACTGCCCCAGCCACTTCCTCTTCAAGCAGTATGCGTGTTTCCTATGATCTCGATCTAACCGGCATCGATTTAACGACTCCTCCACCAACTAGATCCAAATCTAACACAGAACGAAAGRGCAAGATGAAAACATCTGAACCAAAAGCAATYGAACCATTTCCGAAGGAGTCTCGCGCTCGAAGGGGTGGGAAGAAAGCCGATATTGAAAAAGAAGATACTAATCGTGTCGTAGAAACTYTTSAACGGCGAAAAAGGAGTAGAGRGGCAGTAAAACAGGTTGATCCCGTTCCTGTATTCGAAAACACCCCCACGAAAAGACAACGAAGAAAGTCTGCAACCGAAGAACCCCCGTTCATTGGCAACTCCACGTCAAAAAAGCAGAWAGTCAGAAAAGATTCGCAACAAAAACAACCCCTTCCATCGGCAACGGATAAAACTCCAAAGGGAAGCAACACGAAGGGAAAACAAACATCTGAAGTAACTCCAAGTGCTGAAAATATCTCAAGTAATACAAAGAATACAGAAGTAACATCATACTTACCAATTCTGCTTTCTGCCACGGGAGCTGCAGGATTTGCGGCCTTTCGCTCCCAGCTTGAAGCAARCAAGAGCGAGCGAGAGGGCCGACAAGATAAAGGTGCCAAGACGAGATCCAGCGTAATAGGAACTCGAGCAGTATCRGCTCCGAAAAAGAAGGCCTTTCCGCGAAGAGGAATCTCAAACCCCACAACCAAGGGGGCTCGACCCGTCGTGGAAAAYGGAAGGAACATAAAGGCATCCCCATCAAAAAAGAAGATCTTTGGTGCTAAAAAGCAGTCAGGAAGTGCGAGTGTTGCAACAGTGRCACTTACATCCAAGCCATCAAGTGCAGATGTTGCTATCAACCCGATTACATTCGGAGGAGTTGCCGTTTTGGCCCTTGCAGCAGTTGTGACACTTTCAGCACCGCCGTCGAAGCCCCCAACCTCGCCAGCTTCACGTGAGAACACTCCGGTTATTATTGAAAAAGCAGCTAAGGAGAAAGTAAAATTTGAAGCAAACGCGAACGATAAAAGTTTGGTAATATCTGAGAAACAAAAAAGCGTAKCGAAATCTACACCAGAATTGACGAAAGAAGAGAACAACCCTCTAGATCTTCAGAACGACCAAACTCCTGTTCTTGAATCAGAAACCCAAAATACAGCTACTTCACCTGCTACTTCACCWGCCTCTTCTATTGCAACTAGCGAGAAAGTCACCATGGCATCTTTTGCTCCAAAACTGACCGCACCTGTCGTCACGGGAGGCGTCTTAGCAGTGTTTGCTTACGGCCAAGCCATTCAGGAATACAATGATATCCAGAAGAAGAAAGAAGACGACGAGGGCATTGATGCTAGCGTAGGCGATGGCAAAGACGTAGTGGCAGCAAAGGATACCGACACTGACRCAATCGTTGCCAACCGGACCATTGAAGCAGATACTGCAGACGAGGATGAGKAGCCGATCGACGACCAACAGGAAGAAGAGGGCGAAAGCGATGAACAAGTAGGATAGAAAGGATAGTACGAAGAAATTAAWCTGATAGAGATACTTGCCAGGACGGAGCTATTTGGTGGATTTTTACTTCATGATTACCTTGGCAGAGATTTCAATAAAATCCTTAAACGATGTTATTCTTTCTTTACTGCGTCCTATACTTAGCTTTGCATAGAAGAATCATAGAAGTTTTTGTCGATCTATTGTATTAAATCTAATTTATTTCCCCACTCCTTAAGATGGCTTCCATGACGCAACTTCCAATCGCTCGCGCAAGGCAGAYTGGAACGGCGTTTCCAATTTGATCGCGAATCTCAGAGTCGGTTCCATAGAATTTGTAAGTCGGAGGAAAACTCTGCAACTGCGCTCGTTCGAGTCTCGTTAATTGRCGATTATTGTTTTTGTAGTGAAGTATGACACGTTTTTTAATCACCGTGGGAGCGGGAACATGGGGCTTCAATTTAACATCATCTTCGTTCGGTTTGAATTCTTTGAATTTATGGCCTTGCAAACTGAGCGGAACGCCATTGAATTGGACCTTGACCTCCCCTTCGTATGCTAATGGAGATATGTCTTCTAAAAATTGCAAGGCATCCTTGGTTGTTCGTCTTGGTGCAACAGAAGCATCGTCGCCGTGASTGGGATTCGGTACACGTGGAAGTTTTAASCCTTTCTTTGACGCCAAAATGAAGAATCGTGTTCTATTTTGTGCATCCCCATAATCAGATGCGGTCAACAACAATTCTCGAATCTGATAGTCCATCTTAAGAAATTCTTCGGTCATCTTATGGAGATAACGTTTGTGCTTATCGTGTGTTATCCCTTCAACGTTCTCGAAAGTGACAAAAGGAGGTTGGAAGTATTTGACGGCTTCCATAAATGTAAATGTTTCTSAATTGTTTGCATCATCATTAGCCCCACCATTGCGATTGGCAGAAGAAAAACCCTGACATGGCGATGACCCATGAATTAGAGCAAAGAACCCATTCTGTGGTGGATAGCGGGTCGATTTAGGATTGTGGCGACAACCTGCGAGGAAATCTTGCACCGAACATTGAAACACCTTGCTGTCCGAGAAGTTGGCTTGCAGAGTCGAACATGATGCAGTATCGCTGTCGACGTGGTGACTCACATGAAACCCTGCATCTTTTAGGCCTTGGCTAAATCCACCAGCACCAGCATAGAGATCCAACACTCTTAATTTTCCTTCTGGGGTCGTCGGGATGGCAGGTTTTTCGGACRAATGGAGCGCGGATGGCTTGTACTTGAAAGTGAACTGTTTGTCTCGAAAGGATCTATAAATCAAGTCTGACACAATCGGCTTCGTGATTCGCTCCTCGAACTGACTCAATGGAAAGCGAGGAATCGATAATTTCTGATGCCATTCGCACTGCACATACTCCGGACCGGTTATTCCTTTTGCTTTCCAATACTCAATCAACCTCTGCGCACCTTTGATTGAGAGACATGGAAGATTTTTGATAGCTAGATGGAACTTATTTTTTACGTTTGCCATCTTGCGTCGTCTCATGCTTCCRCTGAGTTTCTCCTTCGAAAAATTCTCAATTTGTACAATTAGATTACTACTGTCAAGCCTCCAAATGTCGCTCCTGAAGAAATGACGTCCATTATATTCCACGTACTTTGCTATCGTTGGTGCAGATCTTGTGCTTTCAGTCTCCCGCGCATAAAATTGCGACATTGTGGGCTGTCTAAGCGCCTTTGATTCGTCGAATCCGTTGTCATTCGCGACCTTTACGACKGGCCCGCCTTGCTGATCAGCTTCTAATTCTTCGACTATAAGTTCATTGGTATCATCGGCACTTCTAGGTTYATACATGGAATCAAAGTCAACAACCTCTTGTGTGAGTTGATCGACTGTGAGTCTGATGTTCAGATCCTCGTGAAGGTCTGCGTCGTAATTGTCGCCATCAACATCTTCTGCAACAYTGCTACAAAGATTTCCTSTAGATTGATAGCCATCACGATTGGAATCATGAGACGATTTTCGATGCCCTGTTGTAAATGTTCCTGCTTTGCCTGAACTTGAATGATTTATCGCTGAATGATTTATCGCTTTAGGAATTCTAGAGGGTGTATCCGTAGTGGGACAGAGTAAGGCGAGGAAAGCTTCATCAGGTATAGCAGCAAATTCGTCTTGAGTACCACCACTTAATGCAGCCTGCGATGACGGATCTCCTTGATTAGTTGAATCAGTGGCTTTTTTAACATTTATGGCGTTGCTGCTTCGACTAATGCCCATATTGTTGGAATTCTTCGATGGTAGAGGAGTTACGGAAAGAGTTGCCGCCTTATAGCAAGTCCTGGAAGAATTTCCGACTTCTTTTGTAGATTCTGCAGAGCTTTGGCCGGCTATCTTCCTCTTAAATGGCGTTTCGTCGATTTGGCGAAAAGCATCATCGTCCAGCAACCCAGGAAACTCATTATCGTCGTTGTTGTTTACGGGAGTTTCCCTGACAGAGATCGATTGGCCGCCCCTCGATCGTTTCCTGCTGCATCCAACACTGGCTCCCATCCCGTCCCCATCGTGACACAGATRGTCATCGGTGACTCGACGACTAAACAGCTGGCGAGATGATGGAGGTGATCCATTCGGAGTGTCATCTAACTGCCTCTCAAAACGACCATCAATGGATTGGTGCTTGCTCATTGCTTCTTTCAAGACGAATTCGATTTTGAATTGGATTTCTCTATAAACTTGTGAAGATTGTAAGGTTTCGRTATTCTTAGTGTGGTGTTCGGTTCGTAAAATTGTGAAGCTTCACTCGTCCATCCTATGTTGACAAGGGAATTACTACTCGTACTAGTTCGTACTCTGGAGGGAGACAAGAAAAAGTAAGGTATCCTTTCTTTTCGTGCCGATATTCAAGACTGTGAAATTTCCTGTTCACACATCATGTTACAACATTACGTACGTACGTGATGTCATTTCTTACCGTATTACTGTACCGTACCTTGTACTTCGCAATTTGATCATGTTCAAAAATTAGAAATATTTTTGAAAAAAGTTGGGAGCGCCTGTCGAGCACGTCCAAAAAACATCCCCTGTGTCGATGACTTATTTCCGAAATGAAGTTTAAGTACTTCGTACAGTATGTTGTATTTTTATTCCTGATGTGGTTTCTCCCATCCCCCTTCGTTAAAGTACTTCGTACTTCAACACAGTATTGTTCCGTACTGGTGCGTTGAGATAAACACAGAAAGATGTTCATCCTCGAAGGTTTTAGCTCTCTGTTTTCCACTCCTTTGTTTTTAAACATTACTATAGTATTGTACATAGGAGCAGACGCGTAGAGTATATTTCATACAGTAATACTGTATTGAAGAAAGAAGCATTTTTACTCCCCAGGAATACTGTATTCCAGGCCCTCTAATCTTAAAATTTTACTTATAGCGCCACCATTTTATTGGTATTAGAATGTTTCTTTGATGAACCTAGAAAGACGAGAAATACTGTATATCTAATAATCTAATAATAAGCTTTTCATCTCGTGTCAGCGAAAAAACAATCATAATTGTAATTCTCGTCGATGTCCAACAATAAGAGAACCCGTGTCGGAAAAATAAAAATCGCTTCAACAACRTGAACATGGACCACCACTATTTCGATTAGGCAGTTCCTTCGGGTAGGGTCTGCCATTAGATGAACATGGAAGGGGTTTGGGATCCATCGCCGTATATATACACCGGATTTGCCGTGACGGGTATCACAACACTGTGTGTTTTCATAGCATGGGTCTTTCTCTACATACACCGCAAAAACCAAATAGTCGCAATGGGACAACCAGAGATGCTATATGTACTATGCCTCGGAACATTGCTCGAGCAGCTTTCTGTGCTATTTTATTTGGGTGTGGCAGCACAAAAGAAACCAACTAACTTGGATGTATATTGCAGTCTCGGGTTYTGGACCAACTACATTGGACTTGTCTTGATAACCGCTATTCTGCTTGGCAAATTGTATCGCAGTTTCAAAGTCGTACAATTTCGTCGTGGCCAGACGATTCTTCCTCGCCACATCTTTGCACCTTTTTTTGTTGTGCTCGTGTTGATAGTMGGGATTTTGACTGCGTGGCAACTGATGTTTCCAATTCACTACGAATCGAAAAATTTTCACGATTTTCGCGATCCTGATGAAGCGGTCGGRATTTGCAGAAGGTCTGGAGAAAAGTATGAAGCTATCGCATTTGAAGCTGTCGTTGATGCAATTATTCTTCTGCTTKYGGTGGGTATCCTTGTTCTGGCGTACAAGATCCGGMGTACGGATGAAATTATAAGTGACAGTCGCAGGATCTTGCAGCTCTTCMTATTCTTCACCGCAAGTCAAATCATTTTCTTTGCCATTAAGTACCCAGTGACGRAAACAACAGGGATCGAAGATTCTACTAAATGGGCAGTTCTTTTCATAGCATGGCTGTTATTCAATAATGCTTSTACTTTGGCGATAATCTATTTTTTGTTCCTACCGAGGTTGTACTATGTTTGGTACGAAAGAGTGCATGGACGCCTCCCCGAGAATGTTSAGATTTATGGGAGCGGGCGAGTTCGTGTGACTGTTTCGTCAGGACCACATACTAGCAGTAACCAYGACGAAAGCTCAACTATTGAAAGGAGTGCTAYGCAATTGAGTGCTGYGAATGCAGCAACTACCTCCAAGSGTAACAGCAGCAATGAGGACTGMGAAGCCAAATGAACGCCGGACCGTGTGTTGGAAATTTATAATTTATAACAACTGGCCATGGMGGAGAGAGGCTCCTTGTGGGCGCATTTTTTATTTCYTCTTTCGTTGTATCATCTACCAAGTCCATTTCGTGGTTTCAGCTTTTCCAAGCATTTACACAAAGTGCTGAAAGTGGCCATGGTCCAGTATATGAAAAGATTGACTCTAGTAATACTARTATTCCTTTGACTGAATCCACCTTGAATCCWCATCAATCTGAGAAGTATATAGTTTGTAAGAGGYTTTGCWTTKCTATTCTTTTATTATCCATTGGAACGGGCAGCGGCCATCAGAGACTTTTTACTAAGAYAAGGTCTTAATTGGATCGATCATWCAATTYTTCAATTCTTTGCTGGCCAAAGAGTGGAATCAAGCGCAAATCCTGATCCGACGTTCTCGTTGAGCAGCCATTGTGTCGCTTCGTCCCAACGCTGACTGTYAATAACACCGTATCGATCACYCCCACGGTTCTTGGTTGCCTCGACRAGCTTACCGCACTCCATGGTCATTTGGGTGTTGTACGTAAGGTAATCTCGTCGATCCCAATGGTCGTTGCCTTCGTCACTCAGCTTGGTGAGTTTCTGGGCTTCTTCGACGGCTCTRGCTGCTTTTTCAGGGTTGGCAATTGCCATTGACCAACCTTCAAAGGTCRCTTCTAGGAAGGTCCGAAGAATTTCACGCCTACCTCCATCGTCGTCGAGATCCTCTTCGGGCGCAAACAGCATCTGAGAATAGCCCAATTTGGCACCATTTAGTCCTTCGAGCGGGACCGAGGAAACCGTGTCTCCTGTTCTACCKGTCCGTTCGAGAATCCTCTGGAGGGTTGGGACTTCGGTGGTCGTGTAGGCCTGAATRGCATCCAGCTTGCCCCCGATGAGATCCGAATTCTTGGTTTCCCGCGGACTGGCAATTACCTTATGCTTAGCTTTTTCTTGTYCGCTGTTGTCGTAGATCAGGATACGTTTCAGCAAATCCACAGTGTCMTCGTGGGCCCCAACCAATTGTAGGTCATCATGTTYCTGGCTGTTGCCTTCCTTGCTCCCGTTGATAACCGATGCCAAGCAYAGAGGTGAAGTATCAAACATCGCRGCTACAGCCTTGAGTTTCAATTSAGGCTCTTCCATGATCAAGGGGAGAAAGACGTTTTGTTCGACACTGCCCACCACCACCATTTCGGCGTTGTGACTCGCAATATCGCGGAACTGGCGGACGCGCTCGGCCTCGAGTCCRACGGGACAGATRGACAAGAATTTCACGTCATCGATTCCAGCTTTTTGGTAMAGACCCTCCGTAAGGGCGCAGGCGATTCCGGCAAACTGGGGSGACATATAGTAATCTAGCTGGACCGCGACCGTAGATTTGTTGCGGCGTTGCTGCAGTTGCTTGCTTACAGAAGTAGAGGCATCCGAGCCAGAGGTGGTGACAGCAAGGGAGGAAAGTCCGCCAATTTGATGGGCAAGACTCTTCTTCGAACACAGAGCTCGGTTGCCGAACAGTCGGAGAATCATTCTTTATTTCACGTAGTTTTGTCGGGTATTGATAATCTAGTCTAATTTCTAGTCTTTTTTTCGGAGATGTTAGTTCTACTGAGAACCCGGTGTTCTATGAATAAGTGCTGGTGAACGCGTTTGAAAGAACCCAGGTTGAAGGAAAGGAAACGCGGAATGTTTTTTCTCTATGAGAAATTRAAATCCAGCAGCAATATCGCAGGGTAGGATCCAATGGCAGTATTCAGAGGCAGTAAGTCAAAATGAATGGATCGAAGAATGAAAAACATCCGTTTGCTTGTGTAAGAAAGCTGTGCAGTTGGATGGTATTTGAGGAAGTCCTGATACTGTAACATATCAGCCATCAACAACGAACATAACGTTCCGTACTGTATGGTACCGTACCGTATTGTAGTTTCGGATTTCTAGCCCCACCGTACGGTATCCTTGAGGACACCCATCATCCATCCAATTTTGGAATTTGATTTGATTTGATCTACGGAAGATGTCGATGACGAAAAATACTTTACATACGTATTGAAAATATGATGAATACAGTACAGTAATAAACAAATGATACGAAATCTTTTGCTTCGTGAAAAATCGATTGAAAAACGGAAAACATACCGTACATTACTTTTMGTAGGTACAGTACGTACTTCACCATTACGAGTTTTCGCATTCGTACGTACAGTACCTTTCGAAGTACCTACGCTGCGGTAGACAATTGAAATTTGAAACGTGCACAACGTTTTCGAAAGTTCGTACTTGYAGTACGAGTACGAAGTTCAAATTCTTTTTCCTGGCATCAGACTGATCACTTTTACTCSGTGACATCGACCTCAACAGCAACGAGAGAAACAAGCCATTCGAACGGAACAACCCGTACTGTTGAAGAATAATCGCATTTATATTCATACACTTTGTCTTATTATGAGAAATCATTACTGTCATCTATTTTGGTTCCCAAAGACTGTAAATGTTGACTCCCGAGTCCTTTCGAGAAAAGTATCCACCACAGTATCGGCCACCAAAATGGTCATTTGAATATGATCTGGAGAAYTSTCGCCATAGCGTAAGACTATACTATCAAGAATCTGACAATCTCAACAATGTGAAGAAGTGTGCATTGCAGCGGGACGTCGTCAACATTGGATACGAAAACAAACACTTTGTCGTTGATCAGGAAGGGAACATCGGATACAACAACTCRAAATCTGGGTACACGAAATTATGGAATGCGAATACCGAAAATTTGCCGCCAAACTTGGCTATCTACACAAAGACACCAGTTTCATTCCACCCTAACAAACTCGATGAGCTTCCGAAACCTCTACAGTACCGGCACGTCATYAACGTAATCGGGTACGGATTTGATACCACACATCAACCGGATTACCAATATTTTTCCAAGAATGGTTGGGGAAAACTTCGACACCATCTGACCAACACGATGCGGTACGTGTTTCAATGCGCTCTCGATCTTTGYCTTCCTACCGTTGTTCTTTCCTACGTTGGTGGAGGKTCATTCCTTGCGCTATTTGGTGGGGACTATCCGTCCATTTTCGTGAACGCCGTCAAAGATGCTCTCGAAATGTCAGCGTTTCAAGGGAAAGTCGAGCTAATGGGTCAACCGACCTTGCCCGATGAACTGATCCAAAAACTAAAAAAAATCGCCGGAACTCGAATTTCTGTCCTCGAGGGCACATGGGAGAATGCGGCTGCCCTGGTTCCAAAGGTATGGGAAGGAAAAGAGGCAGAGARGAAACTATTTGTGAACGCGTGGGATCCACACTCGCACGCCGGAAACGGAAACAAAGGGGACCCATCTCTCGATGGCTACGTCGGACGCCACAGTGCGGTGTCATACCTTTGCTGCGTTGATCTCAATCCACACATTCTCGAGAACATGTACGCACTGCCGCTCCCAAAAAGTGGGCGACATGGTTTCCACGAATGAAGTCSCACGGGRCAKTGGCGCAGAAACGTGTCGGTTTTCTTGGCATTTATAGAGAGGACCATGCATCTCTCCGAGGCTCGGCGAGTATTCGATCAACCATGCTCYGGAMAAATATRCCGACATTGAATCACTGGGTGCGTCGTGAMAACTAGATGTCCAAGAAAAGAGGATGGAACGATGKACTCAACGACGACCAAGGGRYAGCCTGGAGACTTCGTCACTTGTTGTTACTTCTGGTTCAAGCATTCCGATCCGCCGAAAAAWCGTGCGCTGTAGACTATGCGATYCCGTTACTCTGTTCATACATATACGATTGATTCTTCTGGAGGAGCCAGWATAGTACAACATCCTTATCATGCCACTGGACGAAAACTCGCAAAACAAATCGAGTATGCAGAAGTTCWTTAATAAATTCTGAGCCGAGTTATCAACTGAGGGGGTTGAAGAATTGTCGCAGTTGCACATACAGAATAGGAARAGGACCGAATTCSAGCCATGCCTCGATTCATGCCAAAAAAGAAGATCAAAATAAYGCTTCTCAAAGATTCCAAAGAAGTCGCTCGGAGGGAAACTTGGACTGAAAGTCGAAAACTCAAGCCATATCCACAGTAAATGCAAATCATTCATTGTCATTGTCATCATACATTGTTTTATAGCTATTCGTGACCGTGACCTRATCGATCGATCGGTTCGCGCTACACCCCTATTGCGAGAAAGACAAAGTTCGTGACCAGCCCGGCGATCGCGCTCACGGAAAAGGCCACCGTYAGCAAGCTCGCCTGCCTGGCCGCGTTCGCGGCCCGCTGCTCGGGAGTCCCCGGAAGCAGCTGGGGTGCCAGCTGGTAGCAAGAGGTGACCAGGTAGCCCGAGAAAAAGGCGATCGTTGCCACCAGAGCGATGGTGAGACAATCGCGCTGCGTCTGGGTTGGAGCGGTGGCAGTGGCTTCCCAGGCCGCACTGGCTTGGACCTCCCCCGGGCTCCCCCGTAGCAGCAGGGAGTCGTCCCTAGGGGCCTYCGCAGCTCCCTCCCCGCGGTGGGCCCCGATCCGCTTCYCCGMGTTTAGAAAAAAGAGGACGACGAGGATCCAGCGGAGCCCCGCCACCCACAGCACGCAGCGCATGGAGGACGGCGGAACCAGGATGGTAGCGAATCGGCCCGCAAGGTCGCTCCCGATGCGGGTGTAGAACAAGATCTGGGCCAGCTCCATCCAGTCGGTCTGRACGTGTGTAAACCACGATCCGACCAGAAAGGAGGGGACAAGGACCAGAGCCATWCCGTAGCACGGGGAACGGCTGCAATAGAACAGCTGCGCAATGGATAGTTCTGCAACGGTGTGGCTGTCGCCCACCCGCTGTTCCTGCGGAAGCAGTTGCCGAAGAAGGAGACCATCCCGGTTTGGATTGCCTGGCAGCAGCGACAAGMGCTCGTTGAAGTCTTCAAGCTCGGATGGGGATGACAAAGAAGACGACGATGGCGACGGATCCGACACCTCCGCCGCCGCCGCCAGGTTTGTCATGGAAGCGTCCCTCCGCTGCATYGAAACCCGGACGCGGGGCCTCGCCACCAGGAGCCACAGGCCGGCCCCGAAACAGAAGACCTCGGCGTAGACGATCGATTKGCAAAAAGGAGCGAACCGCTCGCCGTTCATGGTCCCAAAGCCGCTCGAGACGCTCACCGCCAGGACCACGAGGGCGGAGGCCTGGACCCCCGCGGAGACCGCCGCCTTGAATTTCTTGGGCAGGGTATCGTRGACGTCCSCGGCGGTGTGGAGGTTTCCAACAATGGAGGCCAGCTGGTTGAGCTGTCCAAAGAGCACGGCGCCGCCGATGCCCTGCAGCAGGGCACTGGCGATGACCCACGACAGGCCGTGGAGATGCGGCGGTGGTTCGTCTTCRGTTTCGACCTCGATCGAATCGGTTGGGTGCTGCCGGCCGAATGCGGCCATGCCCAAGGTCCCCGCAACCACAAACCCGAAGCCGACCACGGCGCGCACCAGAAAGGTGACGCGGCTCTGGTAGATTGCGTCAAAGACCGAATCCCAGGCCGCCTGCGCCAGGCTGATGGGCAGGAGGGGAAAAAAGACTGCACAGTTCAGGTAGACGAAGGAATCGGGCCCGAAGAGCAGCTTGAAGTACACCAGGCTCGAGAGAGAGGAAATGTAGCCAATCGAGGATCCCAGCCCGGCCAGGAAAAAGAGGAGCTGTTCCAGAAGGATGCTGCTGGTGCAGGCCTCGGCGATGCGTTCGGTGAACACGATGGGAGCTGCTACCAATGCTGCCATCGTCCCCTGGGACGGAGGTCGATCGTCGATGTCGTTGTTGATGTCGATGTCGATGTCGATGTCGATGTCGAAGCTATTGATGCTTGCGTCCCGGGACGTGCCGGGAGAAGCAGAAGAAGAACTGCTGCTAGCACTTTGCGTGGTGTTTTCGTTGGCGTTGTCCGTGGACGGTTCTCGATCTCGGTGGTCTGCTGGGCCCAGAACAGCGCCTTTGCTATCATCGCCATCGTTCGGATTGGCACAGCCCAATGCCTCCATGGCCACGGACGAATCACACTTCTGGTCTCACTCGGCTGTCTGTGTCTCGGTTCTCGAAAATTGGTTTTTCGATGCCGTCCCATCAGGTAACAAAAAAGAACAAAACTCCAGGCCACTACATACCGTAGGCCATATGTTGTACCGGCCGGTTTGAAAAGATTACACCATCTTTTGGTACGCGCGCGACTACAAAACTCGATGCACTGTTTCTCAACAACGAGACCTTCGAATTCTGAGCACAAGCAGACAGAGCCCATGAAATCTACGTGTCATAAGAGAATACTTCAAAGCACGTTTTACTGTCATGAAGGCTTATCAAAAATGACGTTTCAAAACGTATCCCATGTTACTTATGAGGAAAAAATGGAGAAACGTGTCAAAAAACGTGACGGCGAAAAAGGACAGACTATCATACACGAGTGTTTGTATGTACATATGGTACGGCAAGACCATAGTACAGTACTATGGTAGTACCATGTTGACACAAATACTGAATACTGTGTACACTGATCCCTTACAGATTGAATAAATATATTAGGTTTATAGCAAGATACAACCCTGTGCCAAGGCAGGTATGCGATGCTAAATAGCATAGTCATCTAACTCCTTTTTTTACTAAGAAGAAGTTATCATGGATATCCTGGTGCCTAGTACTGCTGGTACTAGTAATACTACGTACCACTACTATGTCTGGTTCTTTCTGCTGAGCAAATACTAGTAGTACTGGGATTGTCCCTGTAACAAGTCCCCGCCTGTTCAACACCAGATGAATAATAACAAAGCAGGATATATTCCTCTCTACTAGTGGTACTACTAGTACTACCAGCTCCTATTGGTGCCATGCTGGGAGGTATGTGATACTAGTAAATGTAGTAGTCATCTAACTCCCATTTTTGACTAGTAAGAAGTTATGGTGGCCCTCATAGTGCTTTGCACTAACTTGTTTCTTCCAAAATATCATAGTAGATGACCTTCATAACAAGATTCATTCCTAATTGTTACTATTGTCCTCGTCCCTTGGTGCCATGGAAGGTATGTGATGCTACATATAATCACCTACTAAGTCTCATTTTTGGCAAAGCTGTGGTGCTCATAGTGTTTTTGTTCCCAGGACAGCAATTACTTGTATTTGCATTGTGAGAGTAGTATATTTTCCAACATACACATTCTTCTTTATTGGTGGTACCAAGGGGGGATACAATGTGATGCCAATTTAATGATGTACCTCCCATTTTTGAGAAAGATATGGCTCTCATATTGATTTGGTTCCTGCTGGTCAATTACTAGTATTTGCATTGTTAGGATATCATTTCTTCTGTATTATCATAGATAAGCTTCATAGCAAGATACAGTCATCCTGGCCTGTCTGTTGGTGCCATGGGGGTTATGTAAAGCTAGAAAAAATAGAAAAGTGCATATTGTTGCAATGTAAAGCTAAAAAAATAGAAAAGTGCATATTGTTGACAAAGAAGATCATACTAAGGCCCTCATACTAATGATTTTGGTCCCTTCCCAGCAATACTGCTGGTATTTTGTCAGTATTGGGTTCAGTACTCTCAAACATCAAAGATTACTAATATCAAATAATACAGCCAGCAGGGGGAAATGTGATGCTAAATGAAGTCACCTAGCTCCCATTTTTGACAAAACCCTCATTGACCTTAAAATAGGTCTCTAGCCAGAATTGTAACACTAATACTGGTATTATTAGTTTACTGCTTGTAAAATCTCTCCAGGAATATCAGTACTTGATTTTATAAAATAGCACAGGCATATGAATTATTGATAAGAATATAAATAGTTGTCACATCAAAGTACTCATTTGACAGACTTGTTGAACTCAACGTTGGTCTATGGGTAGAATAACTACTACTAATACTGTTATTTTGAGCTTACTGCTGATACTGTCTCTCTAAGAATATCAGCAGTACTCTAGTATGGTAGAAACCAGTAGTACTGCAATGAATTTACTGCAGTGAATTGTGCCTATGACATAATACTGTACTTTTATGTACAGTATGTAGGTAGGATTCCTTATCTGGTATCAATCACAAAACACCATCAGCAGTCTCCTGATGTGACCAAAAACTGGGTGGAGGTGAACCAAACCCTATGCATGGAGCAAAAGAATTTGGGTTGACACGCTACCAAATATATTTTTGAGGGGTTCTCCTCAAAACTTTTGACTCCAAATGATTCCACCACCATAGAACCCTCACAATGTTCTCCTGCCAGCAAAAATATATGCCTGAACACCAAGAAGTTTGACAAAAAAAAACTGACACTGCATCATATTGAATGGTCATGAGGAAATTATGGCTGAGTTGCTCTTTATGCAAGGATTCTACACATATATGTATGGGGGTTAGTACATGTGATCAAAATTATGCCTCCTCAAAATGTCTCACATACCTATACTAGTTGTGTTTCACAGTCCAATTTGTTATTGCTGCTGAAAGGATCCAAAAGCATAAAATAAGAACCTGTTAAGTAATAAATGAATTAATGGGAGAATTTTACTTAAGGAACCAAAAACGATAGAATCATCATGCACTTACCACCAAACCCTTTTTGAATGACATTTCCTTTCTCATTATGTTTCCATTTGCAACAATGAAAACCAGAAAACCAATGTTGCAACTAGAAACAAGAGGATATTTATACCTCAACCAAGACTCTCCTGAAGAATACTATCTCCTGAACCAAAATCCTTCTGTGGAATACAAGTATCCTCTTTCAACATGAAAAGAATGAGTGCAGAGAAAAAAGCCAAGAGGAAGGCTGGGAGAGATGCCACTGATAATGTAAAATGAATATGCAAAGATCCAGAGCACTCAGAGTGGCAGAAGAAAATGGAAGCAACATACATGGCTGGACAGATTGTTTCTGCCACCATGCTGAGGAAGGGTGCCATTGTCCATTTTCTCAATCCTTGCCCGGGTGACAAGGAAAGAAGCAAATCCAGAGTTCCTGTTCTTGTGAAAAATAAAAGAAAGATGGGTCAAAAGCACCACTGAAGATAACTCAAAATGCTGGTCCTCTATCTCTCAGAGTCAGCACCAGAATCAAGAACCTGGAGTAACTTGAACCAGGAGACCATTACTACCAAAGAATGCACTCAGAAGTATTTAGTATCTTCACATATGTTATGTGCTGAATCAATACATGAGCTGTCATGATATCAGCCAAACAAGGAATGCAGTCAAATCAGATAGTTCTTTCTGCCAATGTAGCTGAACCAGATACCTCTTTCCACAAAAGCAACAAATGCAGTCAAACCACATACCTCCTGGCACATCATGTATTTCTTTTGTTTCTTCTCTTCTCTAATTTCTGTTTTGAAATACCTGTTT